TTACAATTTTTTTTTTGGATTTGAGCATTCCTGATGAGGGTAAGTTCAGAAAAAGCTTCTGATGCACAATATTTATTAAGTGATATTTTCATTGTCTGATTTACGTCAAGTGATAAATAGTTCGACAACAATTAACAATCAGTTCATTGGATGATTTCTGCGAAGTTGGTTGATCGGTATGAAAGATTGATACTGCAAATAAGAAATTATGGAGAATATATATAATGGCAGAAATTTGCCCTACAACTCTCCCTCCACGAAGCATTAGATTAAACGTCTCCATTCTGTCCTGACGCAGCCGTTTATTTATATATCCCATGCACTCAAACGGATACACATTTTCAGCATGGGTTTACTGTCGGATGGAAAAAGTACAGGGGACTGTTTATCGACAGCCTCGGTGGTCTCGTGGTTGCCTCGAGTGCTGGAGGTCGTAGGCTCAAACCCCGGCCGGGTCAAACCAAAAACTATAAAATTTGTATTTGCTGCTTCTCCGCTAAGCACGCGGCATTAAGGAGTAAGAGCAAAGACTGGGCGGTTCGGAGCCAGAATAATGTGTCCGGGTAAGGTGGCATGTCTTCTTGCAGACTGTTACCTTGTGAACTAGCACGTTAAAAAACCGACACAGCGTGTCAGTCTACTACAAAGCAGTGTTAATATTCATATAACATTAACATGTTCTCGTCTTGAATATGCATATTAATTTGCCGCTGGACGTTAAGCAGCCATCATCCATCCATCCTGTTTATCGAAGGTGTCCTAGGGTCTGTCCTAATACCTCTTAGGATTATTTTAGCTATGATGTCCTAACCACTGTCCTAAATGTTAGTGTAAGGAGAAATATGATATTGAAAATTTTAAATGTTTTAAAATGCATCGAATTTCACCAGAAGTTATATAAGATCGAAAATTAGAATAATTATAAGTATCTTTATAAAGATAATAAATGATTTTTATCTAATGATTATATATTCAAACTTTATTAAACAAAAACAAAAAATCACAAAACATATAACAACGTTTTATATAAGAATTGAAGAAATGATTTGTAAATAGTAACAACTAATAAAATATAATCGGCAACAATCATTATATATTTTTGAGTGAGTTTAATTTGAAATGTCACGGTTTTATACTTTACAAAGTTCTAAGGCAAAATAATCTCGTGCATCTTTCATATAAATACGGGCGCTTGGGGAATGGACACCATATATAAACTACTATTATTGTAATATTTTTTTAATAAGAGCAAGAACACATTGAATAAGTGAAAAATGGTTGAAATATTAAAGCATATTAAAAAATTACGATACACAAAATAAAAATTGAAAAAAGGGGAATCCATTCCCTAAGCGTCTGTGTTGAGGACGTGATAATCTATACTTGCGTATAATATCAACGTCACCCAAAAAGTTCAGTGGATTATTATAGTCTATAGCGGTATAATTCTACAAAAATTATTTGTACTACTCCCTAAATAAACATATATAGGGAACGGTTGAATTTGTTTACAAATTAACCATCATAGAATATAGTATCCTAAAACATCTCAAGACAGCTAGATAGGTGTCCTAAACTTAAGACGATTCCTATGACTTTTCCTAAGTTACGACATGTTTGATAAACTCGCTTAGGACAAAGATATGTCCAAAGATGATCTTAGTCCTAAGAGCGCTTCGATAAACAGGCCCCATGTGACCATATTGTGTAAAACATGCAGTCAAATAAACACTTCCTTAAACCTCTTCAATAGCCATATGAAGCAACTAAGATAAATTATGATGCCATTTATAGCCGACTATATGGTATGGGTTTTTCTCATTGTTTAGGGCCATATTGTGGCCTATAATTGCTTACTACCACTTCATTTTAACTCTGATAGTTGTCTTATTGACAATCATACCACATCTCCTCGTTTTTATATGAATAGTTCCGAAAATTCTAATTCAAATAGCAATAAATAATATAGGCGTGTTAACTAGCACTTCAAAAAAGACCTCAAGTTTAAACCGTAATAACAGTAAAAACCAAAGATGACACAGAGCTCTTTCAAAGAATATATATACCATTGGTATAATACCAACATTTTGATTTTACGAAAGAAGAGTTGATAACACTCAGTTTTGATATTTTCATATAAATATATTATAAGACATTGATAGAAGCTTTTTTCGACCTTGTATCATCTGCCAAGAGGAACTTCTATAGTTGAAAGATAAACAGAACAACAAAAGATTCTGACTTATTATCCAACATTTTATGAATTGCCACAATTAGAAAAAAAATAGAGAAACATTCCAAACTATCAAAGATCTTCCGCGAGCCACCTGTTCTGATTTTTTTGTAGGCCCGAAATCCTTAAAGACGTTGCTTATTTATCATCTAAACCAGACTCTTGGTTAGCAGGGTCTTGCAACGGTTATGGGAACAAACGATGTCTTACTTGCCATCAAATACTGCATACCCAGACTTTCAACAGTCCCTCAACTGGTACGAAATACCCCACATTTTGCAATGTTACTTAAAAAACTTTAAATACCGTGTATCTACTACAGTTTAAATGTGGTAAACAGTGTGTTGGTGAGTAAGAAGAGTCATTTCACAATCGTATGAATAGCCATCGTAGTAACCATGACTGTAAGCCAGACCTTCCTTTCAGTCAACAGATCTCAATCAACTAACTATTGCTATCATTAACTACAACATAGCTTGGTCCAGGAGAAAATCACTGGGAGCAGATTTTGGATAAGAAAGTTTAAAACGTTGGCATCAAATGGGGTCTATAAAAGAAGTTCAAATCGTGCAGTGCTTACCACAGCAGCTGGATGTGGTGTTTCATTTTGGATGTACACATAAGCTATCCCGTCTAAATACTTTATTTACATGGACTTCAAGATTTTAGACAAATATAACTTATCATATCATGCTTACTTTTTCACAAACGATGTTTGGTTTTTAATTTGCATTACGTTCAATATTCCGAAAAAATCATCAAAGACACCATTTACATCAGACTGTTCATCATGATGCTGAAGGATATCCGAAATATCTATTCATATCTTTTAATTTTTATTTGATACCTTTTCTTTTTTATTATGGTGTGTCTTGTTTCAACCAATCAAATAAACACTTACGAAGAGTATACAATACAAACTAATTGTCTGGAAAGTATTTCTGATTTAACAAAACATTACCAAAACCAATGATAAACTACTCGTGTTAGTGAAATACAACCATGATGACATATTGCATTCACATCTATCTTTCCAGTGACATAAACTAGAAAAGCTGGTACATACTCATTGTGATATGGCAAAATCCATGTTTTACTATGAAAACCCCCAAAAATCATTTGGATAAAAAGATAAGATTGGAAGTGCACAATGTCATGCATCACAAGATTAATTGAAATCCAGTCTCGGCTTAGGAGGTGTTGCGGATATGAGGTTTTACTAGTAGGTGGTCCAATGTCTGAAACATAAACTAAAATGTCACTAATTTGACAAGTTGTCATTTCTTATGTTAAGTCATATGATGTTCTGAGTCGGTCACGAGTGCCTTCATGTAATAAACAAAATCCAAATGCAGAATAGTTTATAAGTTTCCCAACAATACACAATTATATACTGTATTAAAAGTAGAACGAATTTTTTTCTGTGCTTTCATACCTTTTTCAAAGTTTTATCAACTATTGAATTGAAACACAAATACAATTTTTTTAGTGATACTCTTTGAAAACCAGTGTCTTATAAAACTTAAGTTAAATTAAAGCCTCCTTAAATAAAATCTGTTTAAGACTTCAACCTTAAATAAAAAAAAATCATCTATAATCAGGCATTCTTTTTCGAATCATTTTTTTTTCTTTCTAGAAAGTCAATTATACAGGCAAATAAAATTAATGAATGATTGGTTTTTAAATTTTGTCTGCACACTAGCTGTCATTATCATTCCAGCCTATAATTTTGAACCTCCTCAGTCAAAATTTCACATGGCAAGTAGGTTTATTGTAATAGAGCGGTATGACAGGATTTATAGTCATCGTTTTACTTCAAGGAAGCGATGGTATTTTAGTCTTATATTTTTTCGTTGTACTTTATTGCTAGAATACGAGTGTGGTAATTGCTTCAAATTATAATTTAAGCATGTATGAGAAGTCCACTTTTATCAACACATCGTGAATATCAGAATATATGTCTTCCAGTGAAAACAAGACAGTAGTACTTGCATGTAAGGAAAACTGCCAAAACAAACTGCATTAAATGCCTTTTTGGGAAATATTGTCATTACTATTCAGATATCATGATATGAGCAACAATATGACTAAACATATTTTTTAGATCTGATATGTCAATTTTGTCGTGTTCATGATGTTGCAGTGGAATCACAAATGTCTGTTTGTGTTAAAATGACAAAACTTTCTGAATTTAACAATAGTTTTTACATTATTTTGTCAGGATTGAAGATTTTAACCATTTTTGCTTTTTGCAATTCTATGGATCAAATTACCTGAATACCATGACTTATCATACCTTCTCCTTTGTTATGATACCTCTGGTCTACTATCTGTTTAAAAAAAACAACCATTGCTATTATCATAGATTATTGTTACCGAAACCGATGTAGATTTCCAGCAAAGAATCCGCTGGTGCTTTGGACTATCTTAAAATTGCAATGAAGTGTAAACGTTTGCTTCGTCTATGACTTTTGAATGAATAACAGCAATCAAGTTTTTTTTTTTCAAGCGCGTGTAGGATTTTTTTGCATGAATTAATACATCATATGCATGAAATATTACCACTAGACCTTAAACAACCAACAACCAATTGATCAATATTTTTTATTTCACCACATCATATGAAAAGAATGTCAAACATAAATACATAAAATCAACACCGACAACAACAACAACAACAAAGCACACATAAAATGTTTACAATGCATTATGTTTGTTTGTTTGAAAAAGCACATGTAACATGGTAACGGAACATTGATATGCTCATGGTTGAACGTGATGTCACTTTCGCCTGTGTTTATTTCAATGAAGATAGTCTGATAATGAAGCAGGTGGCTATCATGTATACGTGTTTCCTTTATTTGTCAATTGATTACACAGTTTGACGGACCAAGCGGTTATACCTAATGCAAATAAAATGGTAAGTTATTTTCACGCCTTAAAAGAAAATAAAACATTTTTTTATATATCTTTTATGTACTGTACTTTGTATCATTTCATATTTTTTAACTATAACTTTATTATAAAAAAAATTAATTATCATTAGTTTTGGCATGTTTAGTCCACCATATATTTTCCCATACATATCGGTCGAGATCTTACACTATTACGCTATTATACGTATTTTTCGATGGATGCATATTGTTCAAACTAAGCACCCTATTTAAAACTTTTTACATTGATACATTTTATTACAATTTCCCGTTACAATTCTCTTCAAATTTTCGCCGATTCTAATGAAGATTTCTTTTTCCTGCAGATTTCTTACAATAAACAGTCAACTTTAAAATTGCTCTTAAGTCTCTTATGTTTCCATATTTCATCATCTTTTGTGCTCAATAAAAGACAATCAGACTTATATGCAACAAATAATTTTGATGCAAGTTTTTTGGAAAATTCTGAATCCAATAATGGTGGAAGTGTGGCGTCAAATGGAGGTAGGAGCACCTCATATTCCTCAATGAGCAGCAATAGCTTGGCGTCCGGAGGTGGTGATAGTGGTCGTGGTATGGGTTCACCGTATGGGGGAGGGCATGATAATAGCATGTCAGGAAGTGGAAATAGTGGACGTGGAATGGGTTCGTCGAATGGGGGAGGGAATGGAAATAGTATGGGCAGTGGTATTAATCCTTTCAACAGTAACAGCAACACAGGAGGAATGGGCCCATTTTCCGGTGGATCAAAAGGAAACGGAGGCGGAATGGGGCCATTTTCCGGTGGATCAAAAGGAAACGGAGGAGGAATGGGACCGTTTGCTGGTGGTGCCGCTAATGGTAATGGTGGAGGAAGCAGCAATAGCATGGGTGGGGGCATGGATCCTTTTAATAGTAACAGTAATGGCGGACAAAGCTCCACAGGACCTTTTACAGGGGGAGCTAGTGGAAATTCGGCAGGACCTTTTTCGAGTGGCTCAAAAGGAAGTTCGATGGGACCATTTCAAAGTAATGATAAAGACAATGGTAATATACTTCAATATTTTACATAATTTTTAAGTCTGCACGTGTTTAAACTTGTGCATTACGACTACATGTCTGATATTGTAGACTCATTTGCATATTTTAGGGACAATTGACAACAACTTAAAAAATTTAACTACGATTGATACTTTGTAGTCATTATGCAATAATGTTAACATTACGAAATGATTCATTTTTTTTTATTTCTGGCTTGTGCAAATATATGAATGAAAATATATAAAATGAACCATTTGATTTCAAAAAAAGTTCAGAGTAGTTTTTTCTAATCCTAGATACGTACTAATAGAGATAAATGGTAATTCAAAGTATTCATCTTTTTCATTTGGAAAAATTAATGTGAACTGAATATAGAATTGTACACAATACACAATATAATTATATATATATATATATAGTTCACTGGCTTTACGCAAAAGGCTTTTCCAGAAATTAAATTCGAAAGCCTAAATTGACTCTAAATTTATTATTCAATACATTCTATTCCTCTGGCGTGGCTGATAAGTAGTCAGGGGGAAACTGTTGCTTCTTAGATATATACGCATCAATTCTAAAAATAAGTTTTGCAGAACTGTTTTTGAGCAAAAGAGATTTTAAGTAGCCATGAAATGCATAGTCTACGTTCTTATTGTAAATGAAATCGGATTATATCTATCTACTCTTTTGTGCTTGAACTTCCAACGAGGGATTAACTCGTATGCAATTGTAATTTTGGAAGGAAAATTTAGGCTTTCCAAAATAACTATCTGGAAAGGGCTATATATTCATTAATGCTTTTTTAGCTGATAAGAATCCCTTCACCATTGTACAGGGCATTGACTTTTCAAAGCTTTTCCCGCTTGATATTAATTCTGTCAAATCTGGTGAGTTCAATTTATACTATTTTGCAGCCTGATATATTCTATACCACACACACACAACAAAAAATATACCAGAAACATACATTTATCATTTACATGTTAAATTCATTGTCTTTGAAGTACTGTAGTATTTTGATTAAGACATATATACTTCTAAACGAGGTTAAGGATGTTCGCTTCTTTGTTTCAAAATAACAAGCTTTTTTGTGCATAAATCAGGTCGTTATGTTTCTCGTTTGAATTGTTTTAGATTTGTCATTTCGGGGCCTTTTATAGCTTGCTTTGCGGTTTATGTTTTGCTTATTGTTGAAGGCCGTTAAGCGACCTATACTTATTTACCGTCCATGTTGTTTGGTCTCTGGTACGGAGTTGTTTCATCGGCAGTACTACCACATCTTCTTTTATTGATGTAGCTCAAAATATAGAAAATGAGTGCTATTTTCATTATGTGTCCGATTGTTACTATTGTTTTGATTTTTCATCATATTTTTACCACAACGTTTAATTTGTGTTTTCAAAATATAAACAATTCGCATTCTAACCATATATTTAGGAATGAAAACACCATTTGATAGTAGCAACATGAATGGAGGTCCCGGTGGTATGGTCGGCGGTCGATTTAATTTAGACATTGGAACTAATGATGGACCGGGCGGGCTAAATGGTAGCCCATTTATGACCAATAATGACGGTGGACCGGGTGGTTTATCAGGTATGCACGTGTTTTTTTTTCTCGACATTATATATTATATATAGCAATCTGATGCAGAATTATTTAATTGCGCAACAACAACAAAAAAACAAAATGATTTATGAAAATCAAAGGTGTGTCTTGTGTTCTCCTTTTAAATTTTATTATATTGAAAGAAAGATAACTCAAAAATAATTTTCTGTTACATAGATTTAAATTTTTGAAGGTGGATCGTTCATGCAGAAAACTGATAGTTCGACAACAGATTCTAAATTTGATACATCTCAGTATGAACAGATGTTGAAGGAGATGTTTGCAACAGACTCCGGTGCTAAATCTGAGGGCAGTCCGTTTGATCCCGATTCTTATAGTGGTAATATTAATGCCGCTAACACTGGTCGCACAAATCTCAACTCTGCCGGCAGCGGACAGTCCCAGGGATATGGTAACACGGATAGCGCACAGTCCCAGGGATATGGTAACACGGATAGCGCACATGGTTCATACGAATCGGGTATTTTTGATAGTTTCAATTTTATCTTTATCTTTTATTTACTTCTAGATTTTAATACGTATTGTTATTTCGTTTAATATAAGATGAAAGCAGTTTTAGTATTATTTCGTCATAGATTTAATTTTTAATGTTGAGTTTTGAAAGAAGAAAAACGTTCTTCTCTACAAATATGGAATGCACTGTTGAATCAGTATTCCATATTCTTGTTACAATTCTATCTACACATACGTAAGTATTCATTTTCAAAATATTTCTCTGATATAATATAAAAGCTTTTGACTTATCCATTAAGAAATATAAATGCATTGTAGGTATATGAGGAATCAACATACTTTTTTTTGTTTATTTAGTTTTCAACTTACACCAAAAATATATTATAGAAAACTCTTTAAATAATATATTCTTCTATTAAAACCAGTAAGCAATATTCAGAGTGCTGGCTACGAAGTTTTGGACGAATTTTTTTTTTCTTAATTTTAATTTGCGTTTTATATTTTTTACTTTAAACTTAGAGCGGTATGGGTCACTAAATTCACTATTCCGTGAGTCATCTTCATTGGTGACAGTAATCTCTTGGTGAGTCATAATCTTTAATATTATACAAATCTGTAGTTGTTAAAAAAAAAGCTGTGATGTAGTAATTTTAAAGAAAGTAAAAATCATACATGTTCATTTGTATCTGTTGAAAATAAACTGATTTTTACTGTTCCGTTAATAAACTTTTATTTTGTCAAAGTTGGGAAGTACATTGTATTTGTTCCACATAGGGCGAAAAACCTCGGATCCGTTCAGCACCAAGCATTTTAAAGACTCTGCAAGTCCATTTAAAGTACATCAGTCACACCAAGTCGGAGCTGGAAGCAATAATTATGGCACCCGTTATAATAATGGTACAAGTTTTAAGTATCTTAACTTTCCTGGACTCTCGTATTGACTGTATTCAGTATATTGCTCTCTCCAAACATAGAAGTTGTATTTAGTAAAGAAATAATAGATACAGCCAGTTTATCCATATTATCAGTGCGATCTTCTTTGGAGATCTAAAAAAAAATAAACCGAGATATTTATTGTTTAATCTCTTATAGTCTTCAATCGAGAGATCACAGATGAAAGAGGTTTTTAGCACAGATTATTTCAGTAACAGCGAAGAAGCTCTATTAGAACATCTTATTTATATAAGTGTTATATGTTGTTTTAATGAATATTCTTCCTCACTGTCATACTGATTCACAATTGAAATGTGTTTATAGGTATTAAAGAAAGCAGGTACCAGTTTAACAATGGAAACACAGACACTTACCAAACGCCATTCAACGAAAAGACGGATTACAATGAATTATTATCAACGCCATTCCAGTCCAATAACAATAATGGTCGTGCTGGTAGTCAGAGTTACAAAGACCAGTCTCTAGGTACAGGATATTCACCTTTTAAGTCAGACAGAGGTATGCCAGGTATGGCAAGAATGAATAATCCCGGTGGTAACCCGTTTAGTCAAGGAGGATCACAAATTGGAAGAGGTAAATTAATTTATATAAGGTGTGAGAAAACAAAAAAGTATCATTCTCTGTTACAACAATGAATATGTAAGAAAATTACAGAAAATTTATGCGACATTTATTCAAATATTTGATGTTATAAACACAATGTTTTAGTTGAGAGAGTTATAAGACTGAAAAAAAGGAAAGCTTTGTATTACCCGAGACGTACCTGCGTTATAGTCTGCAGGTTATATAGGAATATTTGCTGTTTTAAAACTTTAGTACTAAACGTTTTTGACATGTGTAAACCACATTTTACCTTATAATACATTAAAAGGATAACAGGAATTGCCAAAAATATTGAACAGTAAAACATCCCACACCAACCGACTCCTCCTAGAAAATTGACGTTGAAACTACATTGACCGACATATGGTCCAGATAGCCTGATTTGGTACAGTCACAAAATGTGGTGATTGTGTTAAACCAGATTAGCGTGAACACAAGCCTCCCCTTTTGCCTATTCTAGACATTATGGCGTTCAAGTAAAACACACAATAAGAAAACTTGCACATTTCAGCTACCAACAGGATGGCCACAAACTTGAACAAGGAAATGAACGACGAATGAATACTGTCGCCCAAAAAAAAGAAACAAATCAGAAGTCTCCTCATAAAAGTTAATTAAAATCGGCAGTATTTATTGGGGGCCATGAAGTATTTAAAATCAGCACGAATTTAATGGGTATGGCGTCTTTTGCAAATTATAAAAGCATAATCAGCAAACTTAAAAGATTCAACCACAAAGGATGGGACACACAAGACATACATATTTGTCCTTTCAATATTAAAAAAAATAACTAAATCAATTAGAAGTAAATTCGTTGCCCTGTATATTTTGATAGAAGATGCATGTACGAAATGTTGTATCAAGTATCACAAATACCAAAAATGTGCTCCAAAAGTTCGTACTTGAAAGATCGTGGTCGTTCCTTTTTCTAAATTGATCCGATTTTATTTGTTATATCACAGAATATTTCTAATTGTAGGTTGAAAGAAGATGTTTGAAGAACAAAATAATAAAAGTTGGAACTAACAGTGTTTTATATTTACTGTTCTTTTTAATATAATGAACGGACTGCAAACAATACAACTGTTTTCTCCACCGATGTATTGTATGTTGTAAATTATGGATGAAAAATAATTTTACCGATGTCTTTATTTTGTGTCAGATGTTTATACTTGAAATGGCTGTCCAAGTTATTGGTCTCGCCCCGGACCGGACACGATGAAGGTTATTAAAGAAATAAATGTTGCTTGGACGGAAATTATATCAAGACATACGTTATTTTATCACCTATGTTTTATTTTTGAAACGGTGGCAACATTGGCATGTCTACAATTATATATATAGCTTTTAAGGATAATAATTCTCTAAATCATAATTTTGTCCATGTTTGGTACCAATTGGTCCAGTAGGATTAGAGGATATGATTTGTTCTAGGATAATGAACAGGACAATTGACTTCACCCAGTGAGGTCAAAAGTGCACACTAACCCTTCCGACCATCGTAGTTTTTAGTAGTTTTCATCTGATTTTTGTATTCTTCTGTTTTATATTTCAACTCCTTATTCGTGATATATAGATAGGCGTTCCAATCGCAGAGAAGTTAGAATAGGGAATTATTGGGAATTTTGATATTATTTGATTTGTCATATCATTTCTTTCTTTTCCATTTTTGATCATAAACATTCTTAAATCAAATGTGCTTTTATCATGTAATTTAAAGAAACCACATAGGTGATAGCATGCTAGTCCCTGGTGCGGGAGGTCGTGTGTTCGATCTGGTTATATCCAAGAAAAGACTGTCACAACTTGCATTTGCTGCTTCCCCGCTAAACATGCAGCATTTAGGAGGAAGAACAAAGGCTGGTGGAACCAGTGTTACGAGTCATAATAATGTGTCCGGTTTGGATGATATGCCTTTCCTCTTCGGACTGTTATCTTGTCAACTACCACGTTAAAAATCCGACTCAAAGTGTCGATCTAGTACAATCAAGGTTCATATTCAAAACACATTATATGTTCTCGTTCTGACAATGTTAAACTCGTATTCTCTTAATACATAGATCAGAACCGAACTTTAGATAATGTCTTCTGCGAGTTATTTTGCATAAGATATTTATTACACCCGGCTCTAACGGAAATATATTGGTTTACCTCTGTCCGTCTGTCCTTAACACATTATTTTTGCAGTAACCACTAATGCAGCCTCCTGATATTTGGTACCATGCATGATATTGGTAAGTTATACCGTGTGACAAATTTGCAGATCCGTCACTATTTTTACTTCCTATTTGCTGCATACATAGAAGTTCTTCATAATGATGAACGTATAGAAATTTTATCGCAATTTTCTTAGCATCTACAAATCGGAGCTTCTTGATGTTTGATAACCAAGATTTATATTTGTCAGGTATAATGCGGTACTTTTTCAGATCAATGACTTATCTATTTTCTTTTCGTGGCATATATATATATAGATGTTCTTTACATTGATGTTATATTGGACATTTTTGCTGCATTTTTCGCAGCAACTATAAATCATCTAAAGCTTCTTGATTCTAAAGTATTAAACAAAAATGAATTGGATTTTTTAAAAAATGACGTCAAACTTAATGGCATTTTTAGTTTATGTGTGTGTTTTTCTTCATGGCTGGATGGGGATTTGGAAAATTTTACTTCCATACTGATGCAGTTATGTTATTGCTTGTTTTTGCGTCCTTTTTATGTTGCTATAGTATTTTGATGTTAATCCTTTTCATTGTTCAAAGTCATATTTATTTCCAATGACTTGCTTCGAGCACTACTTTTGAGAAATAAATTTTCTTGAGCGCGCATAACGTGCATCGAATGTTATTAGTATTATTGCTGTTCGTCATCGTCATAAAAATGGTAGATTGAACTTCTAAGCGTATTCGAAAAAAAGTGTCATTTCGCGGCCTTTTACATCTGACTCTATGGTATTGGGATTGCTCATTAATGAAGGTGACCTATAGTTGCTTACATCTACTTCATTTTGACTCTGGTAGATAGTTTGCTCATTGGCAATCATACCTCATCTCCTAATTTTGAGGATGATAAAATACTGTTATAAATTGCTTTTAAATCTGATTAATTTTACAATTAGTTATTCAGAAATTAGCGTTTGATTATAGTTAAAGAAAATAAAAAGTTTATTATTTTGCAAGTATATACAAAAAATTCGTAAGGGTTCCGCGGAACCCAGTGTCTCGCCTACTTTTGCTGTTAATCGCAGGCTAAACAAAAATGAGATGAGGAAAAAATTTAATAAAAATATTCCTCTCGATACAATTTTTTTATTGTAAGAAGCTTCTGTCCAAGTTTGGTAAAAATCCAGGATAGTTTATGAATCTAATAAATGTTTTAAAAAATTTAACTGCAGACTGTATGTAATGTTAACTGGAAGAAAAACTAAGTCCATCTATAAGTAAAATATGGATAAACAAGTACAAGATTATAATAAAAATTTCCTTCTAGATACTAGCTTTTGATCATAAACAAACTTCTGTCCATGTTTGGTACAAATCCAGGATAGTTTAAGAAAGTTATTAAAATTTTTAAAACTTTAACCACAGAGTGAATGTAATGTTTCCTGGCAGAAAAACTAAGTCCATTTATAAGTAAAATACGGAAAAACAGGATTTTTTTTTTTTACAAAATTTACTTCTGGATACTATCTTATGATCAGAAACAAGCTCCTGTCCAAATTTGGTAGAAATCCAGGATAGTTTAAGAAAGTTATTAAAATTTCAAAAACTTTAACCAGAGAGTGAATATTTGTGGACGCCGCCGACGATGACGACGACGCCGACGACGGAATGTAGGATCGCTATGTCTCGCTTTTTCGACAAAAGTCGAAGGCTCGACAAAAAGTCGGAATGATAAAATTGAGTTATCGCCCTTTATATGTGCATTAATGTAATTTTAACCCATGTATCTCGTTTCATTATTTGTCAAATACAAAAGCGACTTTCCCTGTATTGTCTTTATCACTATGCGGAACAATAATGGCGGCAACAAAAGAGGTATGTACAATATTCGTATAATAAATTTGTCTACCAATTAACACTTAAGTAGTTGGTTTATATCCGTATTTATAGCTGCGTTTTTTTAAAATAAAATGTTAAATATAAAATTGGCATAGGAATAACTGGTTAGTTATAGTCCTTTATAGTGTCTACAAGGGTCCTGATACAAACGGTATATGGGATCATTAAATTAGTCCACCGAGAAAAAGTATACACTGGGACATCTACAGATTAGAAGAAAGAAGCGAGAGAGTCCACATGATTCAGCAAATGATTTCTGAATGACTATGTATTAAACTCGTATTCAAAGCCATTGAAATCCTTCTGTATAATTTGGGATAAGAATAAGAATAAAGAATGTTTATTGTTCCAATTAAGGGCCCTTGATGAACAGCATGACATCTGTTCTGTGTTACTTGCCAGTCACGTTTTAAATGTTCTTGTTTCATTCTTTTTTTTTTACAGGTTTCAGAGATTGACTGGCAAAGTAATAAAACTTTACAACAAAGTTTAGAGTTTATGTTACTAAACCAAATAGGTTGTGATGTACAGTTTGCAGTAGGCGACCAGAAAGAACAAATAAAGGCCCACAAAGTTGTATTAGCAAGCAGAAGTCCTGTGTTCTTTGCTTTGTTTGAGCAAGAGGAACAAAACAATATGCAACCACAGGTTATTCCGAAAACAGAAAGAACTAGTAGTGTAGTTTCAGTGAAAAACATTAATCAGACTAAGGAGCCTCGATCTGACAGTCAAGCTTCTATTAAAAGTAACATGTCTAATAAAAGTACATCAATGAGTGTTGGTAGAGGAGGAGGATGGATTGATATGAATGATTCATCCATGTTTGCAAAGCAACCAGTTGCGTCACCTAGAGACACCATAAAAGCCCCTGAACAACCAATCAAAGAGACGGTTGTTAAACAAGAAAAGATTAACGAAATAGCTGACACAGATCTTAAAACTTTTCAACTGTTTTTAAGGTAAAAATTTACATAAAACTGATTTTTTTTTACAACTTACTCCTTCAGTTATGCCCCTTTTACGGAAAAAAAATCTGATTTTATTGTTAATTCTAGTGGTAATGTAAGAAAACAATTTGAAACTTATCATTAACAATACTTAGATATTTAGAATGATAGCAAAAGACTTATAGATATCATTTTCACTCATTTACTCCATCCATCTATCAGAGTCGTTCGGACCTACGACATAACTTTTTAATAATAAGCATACGGATTATGCATGCGTAATGGTCTAAAGAACATTTAGCTTGGATTATACCAAGCCAGCCAGAAATAAAATCTCGATTAAATTAGATATGGGTCAAATGTTTATGATAAGTAAGGTATAAGTTATGTCACAAGTCCGGGCGTCCTATATGCGAGTGAGTATCCATGAAGGAACGCCATCCATTTCGTCTATTCGATTTATATGATTTCCGATTTCCCAATGTCACCTTTAAACTTATTTTGGATTGCAGACCATTTTAAAATTGAAGTAGAATTATAATATAGTAAATTTTGTTACGTTTAGTAAAATAAAGATTAAAAACAAAATCAAATGATAATAATCTAAACAAAAAGGGTCCTGGGTCTGTCTACTTGATTTCTATATCATCAGAACAAAGACAATTTCATTAATAGTCTATATTCACGAAAAGTATGAATAAGATCTGAAAACAAACATGAAAAAAAAATTACGAAATTGTCTATAGCCTCGGAAAAACAATTCGGGTAGAGAAAAATGTTGTTATAGATTTTCTGTATTTCGGTTATTGATTACTGATTACTGGTTATTGAGTACCCATGACTGCTGGTCCTTATGGCACAGTTCTACTTGGAGCAATCAATAAAATTTATGCATACCACCTATCCTTAACACAACAACGTTAAAGGGCTGTATTCAAATTATAATAATAAATTGTGATTTCGATAATAACCCTCTCTTTCATGATAATGCACTTAACTTCTTATAACGACTCAAGACAAGAAAATATACAAAATATATAGTATACATTGAACGAAAATATAAAATTTTATTTGTACAAGCTTTAGAAACAGGACGAAAAGCGAGGCTCCGACAATGTACATTTATTGTTTTTTTATCCTGTAATTTACACCCGTCACGTTTTAGTTTTAGTTGTTTTTATCCTGCAATCAACCTTTCTACTATGAGGGGGTGGACAGCTTTTGAGGGAGGGGGGAGGTGGGAGACAAAAAATAGGTGGGAGAGAAAAAAAGATTCTAAAATTGGGAGGTGGGAGATAGGGGGCGGGAGGTGGGAGAAGGGTACCCCCTGTCCACCCCTCTACTATACTAATACAGATGTACAGATAACACAAAGCGATATACGTATACTAGACGTATATAGTCTCCTGGTATCCTGCTCCTGTTGCCAGCGAACGGTTATGTCAAATTACTGTTTACGTCACAGTTCAATTTGGGGTCCTCATTGCGGTCCGCGTTTAAGTCATGTTGATTTTTAAAAAAAATAAATTCAACGATTGGGATGGGAAAAAAATGTACAAAATTAATTGCAGGATAAAGACAATTACTGTTTAGTGTCTTTAAATATCAGCTGTATTTGTACTCGGCTCGAAACAGGAGTAATAGCTCACTAAAACTCGCATTACACCTGTTTCTTAGCCTCGTACAATTACAGCTGATATTTAAAGACTTTAAACAGTTCTTGTCAGTTGTCTCTGGTTTTTCAAAGAAATCGACGAAGTTTAAACGCGGACCGCGAAGAGAACCCCAAAATAAAAGAGGGACGAAAGATACCAGAGGGACAGTCAAACTCATAGATCGAAAACAAACTGACAACGCCATGGCCAAAAATAAAAAGACAAACAGACAAATAATAGTACAGATGACACAACATAGAAAACTAAAGACTAAGCAACACGAACCCCACCAAAAACTGGGGGTGATCTCAGGTGCTCCGGAAAGGTAAGCAGATCCTGCTCCACATGTGGCACCCATTGTGTTGCTTATGTTATTACAAATCCGGTAAATAGTCTTATTCGGTAGGTCACATTCGTGAAAAGGGAAGGGTATTGTAGTTACGACATAAGGAACATATCCGATATCATCTGTGAAACGGTTATTCCATAACGGTCAACCAACTCGTGATGGCGTCCGTAAAATTTACGAAGGAAAATAAAGTGTCATCAAAAACGAAATATTCATAACAGGAGACTTTATTTTTACAAGTACATACAAGCAAGAAATTATTTGTGTACATGTTACTTGTACAAAAGTTGGCTGATTGCAGGATAAATACTTTATTAGAGTCTCACCACTTCTAACATATAAAATATACATTAAAACACAAGTTAACAACAAGAGCAACTCTATATTAAAGAGTTAAGCGAGACTATAAAACAATTTATTATTATACAAATAAAAGTTAACTATATATCATGTGTATAAAATATTTTTTCGCTTTAAAAATATCACTGCAGATTTTGGCAGTACAAAATACCATATTTTAATTTGTAAAAAGAAATAGAAATTTTTCAGTATCACATGTATTAATTTATATATCTATAATGCACCTTTCTTATTATTCTTTTAGTTATCTCTATACTGACGATGTGGAGCTAGAGTACAGTACAGCTGCAAAATTAGCACCTCTTGCAGTCACTTACAAGGTGAATGGCCTACTGAACCAAACAATAAAGTGTCTTTTTGACCAGGTGAACGCAAATAATGCATGCAGTGCATTTGAAATAGCTCATCTCACACGGTCTGCGGATCTCAAAATGAAATGCATGTACATCATTACAAATACCGCACGTGAGGCAATACGATCACGTGATTTCATGAAGCTGTGTCCAGATTGTGTGAGCAGAATAACAGAATCAACTGATCTAAATGCTAGTGAGGATGAAATTTATGAGGCGTTAATAGAATGGGGCGAGCATGAGTGTATGCGGAACAAGAAAGAAATAAATCCAACGAATATTCGGAATGTCATGGGCAACATATTCTACAATATAAGGTTTCCTGCAATGAATGATGCGTATTACAAGCGAGAGGTTGAACCAAAAACATTTCTGACGACCGAGGAAAAAGAATTAATTGCAAAATTTAAATCCGGGTCTACTAAAAAAGATATGTTACCGTTCAAGGTTCATCCGAGAGTAAATGTTGCGTTCCATGCTGTAATGCGTTGTCAGTTGGACCAAAAGCTACGGGAACATACGGGGAAACCAGATGCTCTTTGTTTTGATGTATCGGAACAAGTCTGGTTACACGGTATAGCTGTGTTTGGGGCGTACTTTGAACAGACCAACCACGTGCATCTGGAGGTTCGCGATGAAAGTCACAATGTCATCTCGATTTATCAAGGTCAGATTGACACAGTTCCCAATGATGAAGTGTACGAAGTTGTATTGCATGCACCTATTCTTCTACAACCAGATCAAATATATACATTACTATTGACACTCGTTGGTCCGAACAAACATTTTTATAGGGGAATCGGCGGTAAAAACCTTGTGGAATTCAAAGATATGAAAATTTGCTTTTATGATTCAAACTTTTCAAAGAACGGGACGTCAATTGAAGGCGGTCAGATCCCTGCACTTTTGTTGTCAACTTAACATGCATACTTACTATATTATCAACTGAAATTAAATTTAGATGGTGACTTTAGAGTCTTGCATTTTATACAGCAAAGATCTTTCATTGAAATCAGAATTCAATGTAAAGAGGTGTTTCTTAGTTTGGAGAACTGAAATTGAAATAATTATACAGTGATTGACGTTTTTTTGTTGTTGTTGTCATATAAAGTGTCAGTTAAATTTATTTACAGCTTTTCTAGACTTGGGACGATTTAGAACGTATGTTGATCTGTAGATGTCTTATTCGATATTATCGACGAGTGAAAAATAAATTTAACAATTTGAAAGACATCAGACATGTTCGTGTTCTTTTTGTCTGTTCCAATTAAAAAAAACCGTAAACATTACGTAAATTTCTCGCGTAACAGTTTATTGACATCTTGCAGTTACATTCCATTCCTATCTATATCTTAATTATCCATGTTGGAAATTCTTACTATTCGCCAAAGAAGTAATTATAGACTTTCTAAATAATAAATATCTTTGTTACTGCAATGTCAATCTTTCCAAAAATTGGATTTAACTGGTATCAACGCCAAAAACCTGAAACAAAGAGTGAAAAGTAAAAGTAAGTAAAAGTGCCCCATTAATCTTGTTTTCTAATGATAAATTTTTGTATTCTGGAATTATAGATCAAAGAAATCTCTTTATTGCATTAGGTGTCTAATGTATGATTGACATAAAAGAATACACAATTTTGTTTGCATATAACTAAATAAGACACGAAAATATTTTTATACGTTCGAAACCCCAATGGTTGACTGGGGTATGGAATAAAATGTTCAAGCCTTGATCCTTCTAACCAGCAGTAAAACTCTTGCTTAAAAGGGCGTCCGTTTGGCTGTGTGGGATTTAAAACCATGCACACAAACGTTAAAAACCGATGCCTTGTGTACGGAGAGCGTCACGCATTTTGCATGTTAAAGTACCTTGCAAAAACTTTTTGATGGGTCCGTAGATGACCTATTGCAAGGCAAAGTTTCTGCCACTACCTACCATACCCTAACTTTCCAGTACCTGACGAAATTCTCAATTTCATCCCGGTCGACCAACTTTGTAGAACCTACCTTTTGGATTTATTGTTGATTTCTTCTCGTCCTGAAGACGCAAGAAATATTTACCACTATACGTTAAGTAAACAGTAACTTTGCAATCAAATATTCGTTAGAATTATGGTAATATAAAAATAAGGAGATGTGGTATGATTTCCAATGAGACACAACTATCCACAAAAGTTCAAATAAAGTGGATGTAAGCAATTATAGGCAACCGCACGGCCTTCAACAATGAGAAAAACCCATACCGTATAGTCGGCTATAAAAGGCCCCGACATGAAAAATATAAAACAATTCAATTGAGAAAACAAACGGCCTAATTCATAACAAAACAATTTACGAAAAACAATTAATATAACAGACGTCAACCAACGACAACCACTGAACTACAGGCTCCTGACTTGGGACAGACAGTCCTGCTGCAATTTAAGATTCATTCCTATGCACTCTTACTTATCAGATAATGTTCACTCTTTATCAGTAATCTTCCATCTGCTTGTTTTGTCAAATCATGGAAGTATTATTGTCAATATAATACTTCCATGATCAAACAGACTAAAGGAGGTAGATATCCTTTGTGGAGCCTGTAATTCAGTGATTGTCGGTGGTTGTTGTCTATCATGTGTGTTTTGTACATAAAGGTTTTCTCGTTTGATTTTTAAAATTCATTTTGTATTTCATACGGTATGTGTTTTGCTCATTGTTGAAGGCCGTACGGTAGCATTCAATTGCATACATCTATATATATATATATCATTTGGTTTGTGGTGGGTAGATAGCCGTCATATATAGGTAATCATATCACATCTTTTAATTTTTATTGTACTTAATTTTCATGCTCCCTTGTCACAGGACGTTTTTCTCTCTACTTTTATATTGAATTTTTCATTTTTTATCAGTGATATTAAATATCTCTATTTTAATAGAAACAAAGAAAGGGAGATATATTTTAACTCAAGGGTCTATACTTCCTTTTAACAGGACGTTATTCTCTATTCTTTTTAATGATACAATTCAAGATATAGTTCAAGCGTATTTCGTTGCAGTAAAATTATCAGATTAAATACTTCATTCGCTCATATAAATTTTCAAATTGCAAATTATGTTTCATTAAAATGCAAGTCCTTAACTAAAAAAAACAAGCATTCTGTGAGTATTGCATGGCAATACATAGTCCCCTACCGGTTACAAATTCATTGTAATGGAACGAAATTCTAACTTGATCTATAACTTGTCATGGTGTAAACTACTTAATAATATCAAGTCAAAATCTTCAAGCATGACGAAAAATACGGTTGAAAACTGATTATTTAAGTGAATTTTCTATGTCCAAAGACCATAACTCTGCACAAAATTATCAGACTGGAACAAAATTCCAACTTGATCTGTAACTTGTCATGATAAAACTATATACTAATTATCAAATCAATACCTTCAAGAATGACAAACAAACCTACCCCTAAATTCTTCAAACCATTTACCAAAGAAAAGGAAAAAATCCAAAATGTCATTTTGTCTTTAAAAAAATCTTTTAAAAAATGAGTTATTTTCCTTTGAACAGAAATCTATTAAGTTATAAGTATTTTATCAAAAATTTAATTCTAGGGAAAGGGCTTTAACTGAACAAAGAGAAAAGCTAAAATCGTGAAAATTGAACTTGACCTGTAACTTGTCATGATAAATCAATAAACCAAATATCAAATCAATATCTTCAAGCACGAAGAAAAAAAGTCTGGAAAACTGATTTGCCGGACTGACAGACAGACAGACAGACAGACAGACAGACAGACAGACAGACAGACAGACAAACGGACGTACGGAGTGCAAACCTAAAGTCCCCTTCGACTTCGTCGGTAGGGGACTAAAACTTCTCTCCTTCGTTTACTAGTTCGGAGCATTTTTCGCTGCGCGGGATGTACAAGTAGCCACGTCCAGTCAGAATAGGGACGTTAAATTCCGGTGTCTCGTGTTAAGAGAGTGCCATGCTCTCTGCACGTTAAGAACACTTGCAACAACACTTAGAGGGCTCTGTGGGTGATGTGTTGTACGGCAAAATTTCTGTTCTTATCCAATAAACCCTCATTTTCTTGTGGCAGTCCAAATTCTAAGTTAGGATTCGTGTTGAAGCTATTCCATTTCAAGATCTTAGCATTATTAGACTATATTATAAGCAGTGACAAACTTAAAATCTCTAAACCTGAAAATGATTTGATATGTATTATTTTCGGGAGCTATTACAAAAAAAAAGGAAAGAGATAGCTTATTCAAATCTTCACGATAAAACACAATCCCTCTTGCCTTTCAAGTAGCAAATTTTCAAAAGAGAAATAGCCTTAGATATATAGTGTGCTGGATAATTGTCTCATTGGCAATCACACCACATCTCCTTATTTTTATGGAATGGAAAACTCGTTTTGGGGCATGTAACCCAATAGTGTAAGCTGTAACATATACTGGTTTGAGCGGAATTCTTTGATTGAAAATATAAAATTAACATAAATGAATTTTAATGTAAAAAAATGGTACTAAACAAAGAAACGAAAAGCTGTCTATATTAAATGAATATACACATCCAATTTCTGCTAATAATAATATGATGTCGAGGAACACAAATATGCTATTCTGACTCATTAATTCCTTTCAATAAACAAGGTAAATCTCAATATTTGTTGTGTTTATTAGTGTGCACTCTTATTACATATTCTGGCATCACTTAAGCACTTTGTCTCTGTGCATCTTTTTCTTGAGTAAATAAACTTGAATAATTTTATATCTAATTAATGCAATTGAAAAGCTGTACATAGTTTTTTTCTGACAACTTTTTCTGTCAAAAATGGCACGTTTTGAGGGAGTGGTGAATTATTTTCGTTAGCTGATAGATTTCTATATTTTGACAAGATAAGGACTTTCTTAAATGTATAGTTTTTATACCAATGGTAGCAAAATGATGGTTGGACATTGAAATTACTTTTCCACACCTTCTTTTCATAAAAAAACTTAAGACGTGCATATATATAATATGAACATAATCTTTATGAATTTTGGGTTACATACAAAACTGTACATGAAATGTCTTCTATGTATAGAAATGACTTTGCTATTCCAAATGGTCTATCAAAATATTTTTCAATCAGAATCTTTTCAAAATAATGTGCATAGCACCAATATGGCTCTTGGTAATTCGTGTAAAAAGACTATTGGGGTTTCAATTACCTTGTCATACCATAATTTCTATATCTCCGTTTTCAAGTACAATTAATATTTGGGAATTTTCATTACAAATATCTAACGGCTTTCGATCCTCAATATCATGTGCCAAAATAGTCTTCTTTTCTGGGGAATTACTATTTACGCTGCATATTTTCTTAGCATCCTTGCAACAGATATAAATTTGTCCATTTTCCAAAACTGTCAAATTGTTCATAATATAATCACATCTTGCAACCCACTTCATCTGACCTGTTTGTTGAAAACAAACGAGTCGGTTTCCCTTGTCAATAACAGTTATTTCGGCATTTCCGTTACAACAAAGCATGTCGGGAATTTCAAAATCTTCGCTTATCGTGGTAAGTACAAGTCCATGCTCATCTATAATATCTACACAGCGCTGTGACCACGAAGATACCGCCATAGCCTGTGCGCTAACTTGACAAATTCCGAAGTATTTCTTGTGTGTATGTATATATTTTCGCACTGAAAGATGATTCGAGTCAGTGGTAACGAATTCGAGAATTTCTTTCTCAGGTTTGGTGATTACAATCTCGTTGCTTGGTTTGAGCAAAGCCATAGAGTAGGGTATGTCTACTAGACTCAGTTTTGTAATATGCTCTCCTCTGCTACTGAATCTTTTCAGACTGGCATTTTCTTTGTCGAGTACACATATACTAGAATCCGGTAGCGCGAGTATTTTAATCAACCAACATCTTTCTTCCTGGGGTAATTTTCCAGAAAATTTTAATTTCGTCGTCAGCTTTCCACCCGTTTGTCCCATCGCTTGTCCACTTTCTCTTCGATTTAAAATACCTTTTAAAGAAGAAGGGAGTTTTGGCTGGTCGGGATGTAGTTTGAAGTCGTCCAAAATAGAACTTGATGACGATTCGTCAACAAAACCGACTACAGTAAAACTATTTAAAAATCCATGCAACTCCTTATTTATCGTAAAAGAAACGTTACTAATCGAAACGGTAGATGAAAGTCGCCTTAAAACGTCATCATTTTCCTCGACCTGCTTCGTTATAAATGATAGTTCGCTTAGAACTACCTTCTTGTCGGCAGTTTCATATAAATTTTCAACTTTATTCTCAGTTTCTAGGAGACTAACAGCAAGAGAATAAAAATCTTTCCTCTCCTCAATATGTTCCCTATTTAATTTCTCGATATCTCTTCTTTGTATAGCTAACTGCTGAGCACATCTTTCGTGGAATTTTTCTAGGATGTCCTCTAAATTGTCTACGTCTTTTAAGGCTTTAGTTCGCTGTCTGTGGAATTCTTCGTCTACCTGTCCACAAGTTCGCACTTTTAACGCCTGAAAGAAATTTGATTTGTATGAAAAAGTTTAAAACATTGTCTCAAGTTTAAAAGAGAAAAAAAAGACCAAAATTTTCCCTCTATTTATGAAAGCAGAATCATAAACATACCATACAATTACTATTTTCTTCAATGGATGTCATATTCAGCAGCAGCGGAACATGTTTTCGAGTGAAGAGGTTAGAAATCTTCCTGGTAAAGAAATAATTATCAGATTAACGAAATTTAAATTTATTTTCGTGTTTCGTGGATTAAAAGGACTATAGCAATTATTTCAACTGATCACCAAACTATAATATAGATATAAGAAGATGTGGTATGATAGCCAATGAGACAACTCTCCATCCAAGTCGCAATTTGTAAAAGTAAACCATTATAGGTCAAAGTACGGCCTTCAACACGGACCCTTGGCTCACACCGAACAGCAAGCTATAAAGGGCCCCAAAAATGACTAGTGTAAAACCATTCAAACAGGAAAACCAAAGGTCTAATCTATATAAAAAACCAGAAACGAGAAACACTTGTGAACCACGTCAACAAACGACAACCACTGAACAACAGGTTCCTGACTTAGGACAGGTGCAAACAAATGCAGCAGGTTTAAACGTTTTAACAGGCGCCAACCTTCACCCTAACCTGAAACAATAGTGTAACATCACAACATAGAAAGACACACTATAAAATAACAATTGAAATGGTTTAACTCAATCAAAAGACATATTAACAAAGACAAGTAAACATACACTGAACGAATAAAATTGATCTATGACACAATGTAATTATGACTGAAAAGATATCGCCTTGCCATTCGTCTACAAGACTCATCAGTGACGCTCGAATCAATAATCAGAAAAGTCAAGAGGCCAAATAAAGTACGAAGAAGAAGAGCATTATTCCGAAAGATATTTTTCCAAATATCCGCTCTTGCTGTTCCTGTGGTAGAAAATCCTTAGTACTTCGGACAATTCAAAGTTGCTTTGTAAATTTTAATTTATAAATATGACCATATCAATGATAGTTCCTGTCAACACAGAAGTGCTACATTGTATTGTTATATACTGTAATTAGGAGCTGACTCCGTAAGTATGATTCACTTGTGTCTTCTAACTGTAAACCATTGTAAGAAAATGAACGATTGTGTCATCACCCCTTGTATCGAACCACCGCCCCGCCCTCTTTTCCAACACTCACTCTGTGCATCAGACATTGTCAGTATACAGTGTTTAATGCACATTTTAGTAGATTGCTTTTTTATACATGTTAGTAACGTGCGTCTTACCCTGATAAGTAACAGACGTATATAATAATTCATTATCTTTTATCAAATAAACTACCGTGGATTTATATCAAACATTACTTATATCAAACATTTCTATTTTTATGTTTTATCTACTATAAGCTAGTAAATTATAGTGTTATCCTGCTGTTGCTGTCAGACCTTTGTCAGTGTTGCAGTACGATCACTGCCAACGTTATCAGACAGCCGTGTTATTTAGCTTAAAACTAAAACTGCCTGCATGCAATTTGTGTAATTGTGTCAAATGTTATATTTGAAACCAGCTTAAACAGTCATACTAAAAGATTACCCAATTGAAAGAAGAAATAACAATATCTTGGTATACACACACGGTATGACAAGGTGTATAGACACACGGTATGACGAGGTGTATACACACACGGTATGACGAGGTGTATACACACACGGTATGACGAGGTGTATACACACACGGTATGACGAGGTGTATACACACACGGTATGACGAGGTGTATATACCCGAAAGGACAAGGAAAAAAAAACATTACTACAAAGCTCACAAGGACTATAAAGGGAATAAAATGCACCAAAAATTGAAACCATAACATAGCGATCTTTTTCTGTCAACAGACTTCAGCAATGTCTCTTCTTATTTTCCACATTTGCGATATCAACAAGTTATTATACACAAATTTATTAATCTCTTATTTAAGTTACTAAATAAGATTTAAGAAATTAGTAATTAATATAAGAGGATCTGGATGGGGTTTACAGAATAGAGATAAATGAACATAAGTGCACATTAAAGCCAAAAATATAAAGAATTGAGAAAAATAGGTAAACCTAAGTAAAAAAAGAAAGAATAGAATATAATGGAGTGATGAAATATAAAGAATTATAGAGAATAATGGGCAAAATATTTAAAGAATAAAGAAAAAATGCCTATAAAATTTAGTTATACAGAAGTGAAGGACCCCATCTAGACCCTTATCTAAGTTCCAAAATAAGAAGTATCGGAATTAGTTATTAGTAAAATATGACATTTTTACTGAAAAAAATAATAATATGCTCTTAAAAAAGAAAAAGGCTCGGTTGATGATTTATTAAAAACATGAGGGTCTGGATTGGGATTAAAGAATAGAGAATAATGGGGTGTAGGGTGTATAAATATAAAGAATAGAGAATAATGGAATAATGTGGAGTTTAGAGAATAATGGGAATATAATATAAAGAATACAGAAATTAAGTACCCCCACATCCAGACCCTCATATATATAAAGGAATTTGTTTCAATTGTTGCGTAGACTAAATATAATTCATCGTACGTGCAATTAAGATGTTTCAATTCACTATGAAATAGATATATATTAGCTGTTTCCTTTTGAAAATATGATAAAATTGGAATCTTGGATGAAATTTCCTACCTGTTTGTATAGTTGCTTTCGTAAGTCCTCCACTCTAGGTTTTACCTTTTTGTGGGCTTCCTCGAAATTAAAAATTTCACATTTCCGTGAACTATGATCAATCTTTGCACATTTGCTACATATCAACGATAGGTGGTGTAAACAAAATACGTCAAGATCGTTTTTAAGATGAACTTTGCACTTGTTATGCAAACTTTGTTTTTCTGATGAGCCTTGTTGAGAAGTTAGTTGTCGTTCGTGGATTGATAGCGTACCCAGTAAATCTTGTATCAAGTTGTCCACAGGAAAATATGTCGCCCAACAATTAACATCGACAGTTCGTCTTGGTTGAGAGATCTCAGTTCTACACAGTGGACAGTTAAAATAAAGGAAATCAGATCTTTGACGTAGAGAATTGTCTATATGTTTCTGTATGCAGTCGGTACAAAATGTATGGTCGCAGGGTAGTTTGCGCGGTTCACTGAACTTCATAAAACAAATAGGGCAGCTGAGATAGTCATCAAAAATATTCTGAACTAATCTTGCCGCCATGACGGTTTAAAAGGCTGATATTTGATTTCTAATTTTTAAATGAACACAAAAATAGTATTATACACGTTTAAATGGTAACATAATAAAAATTTAAATGTCAACTTAAGTGTATTTGAAAATCGATATACCTGTTTGTTATATAATGATACGATTTTGACATCTCAAAGTGCATCAAACAGTGTTAACTAGAGGCACCTGTTAGAACATTCAACTGTATGTCTGTAAGATTGTGCTTGAGCAGTTGAAAGTGTTTTAAAATTGCATTACACCCCCTTTGTCTTTCAAATATATTTTTTTCGTAATAGGTTTTAATTACACAACGTCTTATAATTTTAGATAAACATTAATTCCTTTATTCTTAGTTTGAAGCAAGACGAGTGTTTCTTTTGTGTTTCTGCATTGAAATTCTTAACAGCTTCTCGTTTTCAATACGGACATTGTACAAGTCTGGATTTCATGTACTATTAATAAAGTTACTGTATGGAATACTATATGAGTTCAGCCATCGATATTCGAGTGTGAGATGGTATTTGATAGACTTATTGGTAAAGGTTATTATTATACTGCATCTGGTATATTTTTTCATATTAATATCAATTCGCTAATCGCAGATAGATTTTTGCCTTTGTTGATATAAAAAAAGAAGATGTGGTATGATAGCCAATGAGACAACTCTCCAAAAGAGACCAAATGACACAGAAATTAACAACTGTAGGTCACCGTACGGCCTTCAACAATGAGCAAAGCCCATGCCGCATAGTCAGCTATAAAAGGCCCCGAAATGACAAATGTAAAACAATTCAAACGAGAAAACTAACGGCCTAATTTATACAGGCGAGACTGTAAGTTGACCGTAATGTGTTTTGGTTGTTTTCTCGTTAGCCCGGTTGCTTTCACATTCACGCATACCCCAAATCTCCTTTTAAGTGTTATAAATAAGAACATAATATCTAAAAGGTAGTTTCTCCATAGTGGTCAACTGAATTCAAGGGAAAGACATTTGGACTACCACTGAAAAAAATAGTGTACGGTGGATAACGCACAGACCAGCTACAGGATCACTAAAAGAATTATTGCAAAGGCTCTTTATCAGTAATCTCCCAACACCAACAAGAGGTCTCGGGTTTAACGTTTCCCCCCGACCGTCGTTACTGCTTAAACGACATCACACAGCCAAATGGACCCCAATTATGTTTTACTGCTTTATGAGCGATGTTCAAGTGCCCTATATTTATATCCCAGATAAACCTAATGCTTTAAGATTTTATATAATTGAATCATATATGGAATCTCATCAATTTCCAATTTATAAATAAGTACACGAATTGATGATGACAAATATTTTACCCCTCTTTTTAGCTCATCGGGGCCCGAAGGGCCCCATGTGAGCTTATGCCATCACTTGGCGTCCGTCGTCGTCCGTCGTCGTCGTCGTCTGTCGTCATAAACTATTTAAAAAATCTTCTCCTCTGAAACTACTGGGCCAAATACCTTCAAACTTTAACTAAATGTTCCTTAGGGTATCTAGTTTATAAATTGTATCCGAAGTTTTGATCCATCGACAAACATGGCCACCATGGCTATAAATAGAACATAGGGATCAAATGCAGTTTTTGTATCTTAAAAACTAAAGCTTTTAGAGCAAATCTGACATTGGGTAAAATTGTTCAATTGGTCAAGATCTATCAGCCCTGAAATTTTCAGACGAATCGAACAACCCATTGTTGGGTTGCTGCCACTAAATTGGTAGTTTTAAGGAAATTTTGCAGTTTTTTGTTATCTTGAATATTATTATAGATAGATATAAACTGTAAACAGCAATAATGTTCAGCAAAGTAAGATCTACAAAAAAGTTTTTCAGACCATAATTGTCAATTGACCCCTTAAGGAGTTATTGCCCTTTAAAGACAATTTTACACAATTTGTTCATCAAGTTTGCTAACATTTAAAAATCTTCTCCTCTGAAACTACTGGGGCAATTACCTTCAAACTTTAACTAAATGTTCCTTAGGGTATTTTGTTTATAATATGTATCCAAAGTTTTGATCCATTGACAAACATGGCCGCCATGGCTAAAAATAGAACATAAGGGTCAAATGCAGTTTTTGGCTTATATCTCAAAAACTAAAGCTTTTAGAGCAAATCTTACATGGGGTAAAATTGTTCAATTGGTCAAGATCTATCGGCCCTGTAATTATCAAACGAATCGAACAACCCATTGTTGGGTTTCTGCCACCAAATTGGTAGTTTTAACAAAATTTTGCAGTTTTTTGTTATCTTGAATATTATTATAGATAGATATAAACTGTAAGCTGCAATAATGTTCAGCAAAGTAAGATCTACAAAAAAGTTAATCTGACCAAAATTGTCAATTGACCCCTTAAGGAGTTATTGCCCTTTAAAGACAATTTTACACAATTTGTTCATCAAGTTTGCTAACATTTAAAAATCTTCTCCTCTGAAATACAGGTGAGCGATTCAGGCTCTTGAGAGCCTCTTGTTGATTTGAGTTTCACTTTATAAATAACTTAATTGTACAAAAACTAGTTAAAGTCGACCTGCGTTGGTATTTGTCTGCTATCAAAATGTACTTTATAACAGAAACATTTTGCAAATACGACATATTTACGTCCTAACTCCATCAAGCAAAACTGGCCATAAATGGTTTTGGTAAATAAACGGTCCTGGTGAAGTTAATTCTAGGAAAGGGCATCGATCACACACCAAAAAGTTACTCTACTAGTTTTAATCATCACAAAAATGAAGTGTTTGGAATTGGATTATATTCTAACGAGAACAATAAGCCTCATTTTAGTAATAATGGTAATGTTGCGAAATGCAGATACCGAGCCATTAAACTAGATGATTGTCTTTTTATATTTAAATTTCAGTTGAACAATAATTATACTAAAACAAAAAAACTAACTCTCCCAGGGAATTATTGTAAAATTTGACTTGTATTGACTGTTCTGCGTATACCTTTTGGATTTGATAATGCTAAAGGCTTTATTAATCATTTGGCTTTTTAATTTCGGCCTGGAGAGTAACTGATAAATTTCTTCCGAGCAACAAGTGGTGGTATGCCCAGTGATATCGATATCAATAGTTCTTCAATTGAGTGGGTACCGCTGCTGTTGGAGGAAAGTCTTGATGGATACTATTTAGCAATCTGCGGAATGAAATTGGTATCTATTTTAATTCATTGAGTTTGAAACGATCCTGGTGAACACCTACTTCTGATGGATACGATATAGCAACTTTCGTAATGAAATTGATATTAATATTATTTCAATTGAGTCGGTACGCTGCTGGCGGACGGCAAGTCCTGGGTAATGTCGTATAGCAACACGTGCTTTAGCACTGAATGATTTATACTATTGTTGCTACTGTAATAACTGAGATTTGTGCCTCTAAAGCAAAAAAATATCCTGATTTCATAGATAGCGCATTCTACTCGTCTTTCATATGTCTAGATAATTATAGAAAGAATGCTACACATAACGATAATTACAGACTATATGTTGTTGAGTCATTAGTGCATGCTTTACAAATGAGAAAACTATTATGTTGACGACATTATGATCGCATAATATTCGAATTAGTGTATTCGGTATTTCTAGGTACCATTGAAGCGAACGGATTGTAAATAATAATAACAGGCTGTAGAAAACTACATTTGTTCGCATCTAAGTATAGTTATATGCCATGCTTATACTATCTCATCCTTTTTTTTTTCATATCTAGTAACTGCATACTATGAAAAATATATAATAAGAAACGATCCAGGTAAACTTATCGATCCTTTAAATAAACTTTTCTGAAAATTTACCAATTCAACACTGTAATTAGATCTTTGAATATTGTTTTTATTGGTATTAATATTGATTTTATTATCAGTAAATTAAAACCAAACTAAATATTATTTTTATATACATATGCATATTCATGGCTCTTCAATCTGTTGATACCTGTATCTTGGCATTGCACAAGGTCATGTTTTTCTCTGACTGTTGATGACATCTTTACATCTTTCCATTGGATGTTGGATGTTTACTGATTGATATTTTAGTCTTAGATGCATGATTTTTTTATTAGTTGTTATTGGCTTTGAACTAGATGTCAGTAACTGCGAGTACGTAGTACTCTGAGATCTGTACTTATTGTCTTTTTTGTTGTGGGGATGTATAAGTACCTTACCACGTCCGGTCTGTGTTTTTTGTTAGATGTATTTTTGCTTCGTATCGATCTGATAAGTTAAGCCCTTTTCAACTGATTTTTATAGTTTGTTCTTATGTTGTACTGTTACCCCACTGTCCCAGGTTAGTTGAGGGTTTGCGCCTACAAACTAATTTAACCCCCGCCACATTCAGTATGTGCCTGTTCCAAGTCAGGAGTCTGTAATTCAGTGGTTGTCTTTGTTGCTGTATATCATATGTTATGTTTTTCATTCATTATTTTGTACATAAATCAGGCCTTTAATATTCTCGTTTGAATTGTTTTACATATGTAATGCATTTCGGTGCCTTTCATAGCTGACTATGCGGTATGGGTTTTGCTCATTGTTGAAGGCCGTACGGTGACCTATAATTGTTAATTTCTATGTCATTTGGTCTCTTGTGGAGAGTTGTCTCATTGGCGATCAAACCACATCTTATTTTTATATTAACTCATATGTATAATGATGTTCGGAGAATTGCAACTCAGTCTATAAAATCTAACATAAAAACGCATTTAAATTCTAGAATTTTCGAGTAGATAAAAATGTATTCTTCCAATTGCCCACAGGCGTAGGAGAAAGCAGTTCAGACTTTGAATTGAAGATTTTCATATTATGTCTGGAGACTGCACGCAGTACTTCGACAGTTCTGCCCAAATATTTAGTTATGAACTTGCAAAATATACAAAGAGTAAAATGCATCAAATGAGAATACACATTAAAAACTTTCAGAAAAACAAGATTCATATCATGATAAATAAAAAGCTTTTGAAGATCGAAGACATCAACCTGAAATTATGAATACAAAAACGAAACAACAGACATGTCTCCATTATATAACAATCGTCCTTGAAAACGTCTATAGCAGGTCATTATGATATTTGTTTTAGGTTCATTATATTGCTCTACGATTCATGAATTTTTGTGTGCTATATATATTTATAAAAAAGAGGCGGATTTATTAAAGGGATAATCAAAACTCAATAGCTTCCTTGTAAGTAGCAACCCTCTATCAAGGAAATCGTGATAGGAAACGTAAGCTCTGTAGTATTGTATCAACTGGGAGATATACACTTCATATGCATATGCTGCTGGAATATGACTACATAGCAATGAAAACTTGTTATAATTATCTCTGTTCGCGTAAAGTTTTGTTATAAATCACCGTTATTGATGATTTCTAGATGTAAGTCAATATATGAGACAGACTCCACTGTATCTGTGGTATTCTTTATTTCAAGTTCGATTAGAAAGATCAGTTCAACACAGTCACCAAATTTTGAATTATTTAGTGATAAAACATCATCTTTTTGCGGAAAGTGAAGTTAAAGGAAAATGGTGCCTCGTATGAATAAATGAATAAGTCGGAAAGAAAAAAAGCACAATTGATTGCCATATGAATACCTTTTGTTTGTTGAAAAACACCTTTCTCAAACGTAACAAATATAATTTCAATAAACAAATCAAGCATCTTGATGATGTATTGTTCAGATAACTTTTTGTTCTATTGTTCTAATTAGAAGAGTTAATTTGCAAAGTATGATATATCCCTTTCTGAAACAAGATATTTACATTCACATTGGACATTCTTTTTTTATGAAACAAAGTAAGACTAATTATTTCAATCTGTCTTTAAGTTTAGTTTAATAGAATGAGGAATACTAGTGTAAAGGGTAGAGAAATCAAATATTGTTTTTTACGCTATTGCAAGAGGAAAGACAGTAGGAGTGTTTATATTCAAACAGATCTTTCAATATTTTTAGTATACACATCTGATAGGGTAAGTAGTTTCTCAGAAACTATGAATCCCGGCTTTGATTGCAGATAAAAATGATAATAATTTGGAAAGAGGTTTCGGTGAGTATGTAGTAGACACGGTATCATATGACGTTGTTTGTATAGTTTTATACAGTACACCGAAGGAAGATCAGTTCTTCAATTTTGGTTGAAATTATAACAGACCTATGATAGTTCAGAATGTCCTCTTTTGCATGTGTCGTGGGAGTATGTGTTGAGTTTTCAAGTGAATACCTAGTTCCTTTGTCAAGCAGATTAACAAACAAAAAACACGATGTTGTACAGTGAAAACAACATATTTGCCATGAAAGTAGAACAGGTGGATAACAACATTTGACTTTAAAGACAGATGTAGCTTGAGTGCTCAAAGACCCATTGATTTTATTTAATTATAATTTGTAATCAAGGACCTAACAGGCTTAACGTCTTCTATTTCACGTTAAACCAATTACTTGGCATAATCCTCGAAGGAATCCATTTGTTTTTTTATATTTGTGTTTACAATTTATGGGCTAAGGCTGGCAGTATTCAATCCCTTTGGTTACCATGTTTTGCAGAGAAGTGGTATTGACAATGTTAAGGTCACCAGTAATAACTTGCCCAGTCGGATTATATCGGAATTGGAGAACTAGCACAGGGCAATCAAGAGGTGTAGACTTGAATTTGTCAATATTGAGATCTTGCTACATGATTTTACATACAAGTGAAATGTTTAGCTAACTATAAAACCAGGCTTAATCCACCCTTTTCTACATAAGAAAATGCCTATACCAAGTCAGGAATATGACAGTTGTTGTCCATTCTTTTGATGTGTTTGAGCTTTTGATTTTGCCATTTGATAAAGGACTTTCCGTTTTGAAATTTCCTTGGAGTTCTGTATTTTTGTTAATATAATATTTTGTAGTTAAAGAATCAAGTCGCAATAGAAGTTTTATTGGTATTAAAGAGTATGGATAGGAACATACTTATCTTTAAAGAAGGGAGGTATTGTAGATTGAACTGATTTATATTGGATGATATTGCCTAAATTGATGGCATCGAGACTTTCGTTGACAATGGAAAGTTTTATTAAGGATTGGTTCTCCGTTACATGTTTCCAATGGAAATCAGTCCAAATAGCCTGTGGTGGGCAATGTCCCAGATGATAGCTAGATTGGATCGGATAAAATGGGGATTTGGAACAGATGTTTCCAAATATTATGTGTACGGAGAATAGTTTAGCGCTGTTGTGATGAATACCAATGGCTTCTGTATAAATGACAGACGTTCATTTTATGAGACAGCATCAAGATTACAATGACGTTGACCATAAGTTCTTCTACCCTTTAAATGTAAAAACATTATCACTGTCCTTGTAAAAACAAGGACCAAGAGCGCACTTAGACTAGCCAACTCATGCATACGGAAATCGACAACTCGAATATTCCATTCATTCTTATTCATAGTCATTTCATAATAAAGGTTAATAGTGACTTCTTCGGTATTTTCGTTGATTTTCCTCATTTGACTCGTCGCTTGTGTTACAGTGTTCCACCTTTACTAGGAGTCGTCGTTAATAGCGTGCCATAGATGTAGTAAGATTTGATACTTCTGAATAATGCCAATATAGGGCGCAAGACTGATCCGTAATTTTGCGTTATCTGCTGCAGGTTTATTTATTTTTACTTATTGTTTTTAAGTCTTCATTTTGATTCAAGGTCATTACAGTATCATTGTATACTTGTATTCAGTTCGACAGGAAATGTGATTTATGAACAGGAAGTTCATTGTTAGTTTACTGGACATATTTAACTAGTATATGTACATTATACTTTCGACTGTTTACTTTTTATTGTATGAACTCATATTAAAAAAAATCCAGGAACATTTCCTTTTCATGGCCTTATCAGATTCAATATTCCACCACAAACAACTTGACTGACAACTTGTTCAATTTCCAAACAGCGTTTATACTAAATCTAGAAAATAGCGTTTACCTGTCCATAAATACTACAATGTTTATTGGAAGATGCGCAACTTATGAGAACGATAACACATTTCTTTAATTTTGCCGAGATAAAAACATCAAATTAGGAAGAAAACACAGACCCTGGGCTGCGGAGTCCATTCTTATTTTATTATTGGGCTCTAGGCTATGTTTCGGATGTTTAGGTCTCCGGGCACCTTTTTGGAATGCATTTGTGATCCATGCCCATTTGAACGTTTTTTTTTTTTGGAGCACCAGGCTACAATGATAGCGCTTCGGACTCCACTGATATGGTCTAAAGGAAGGGATACGAGCTTAAAAGGAACTGTTGATACCGACTAAGTACCCGCAAATAAATAGAGACAGCTGCCTTAATATATTTTTTTGATGAATTGGATCAATGTACTGATCAATAGCTGAGAGAAAACGTTTTTATATGAATATTAATAACATAGAAAACCATTTTGTGCTTAATTATCTGTTATTAAGATAAACATAGACCAGACATAATGGTTTATTTACGAATGATTGAAAGCAAAAATAAAATTCATATACAAAAATCAAAAGTATTACAAAATATTTAACCCTGTTCTTATAATAGATTTTACAGATACAATCTTTCATATAACAGTTATGTTAACCAGATTACAATGTCATGTTAAAGCCAAGCGAACGGCTGAACGTTATAGTAACAACAGTCAAAGGATATGATTGCTATCATTGATGAGTTTTTTTCTAACCAGATTTGATGCAACAGTGTATATACATAGGTCTATCTATCAACGACCGATGTAATATTTGTCTTACAACACTGTGATCTAAGGAAGTGTGGTTATCAAACATTATGTTCATTAACGATGTCATTTCTGTGAACGATCATCACGAATTGACTGTATTGTAGTCATTGAACCAGCAATTTGTAAGAAATGTTAACTGTTCTTTCGTATTTTGTACATATTCTGGCTCACCTGAAATAGATAATCAGACTATTAATACTATCTAGCTGTTTAAACATATACTGACAATACTTGACAAGCATTTCTTGAGGATACTTTTTCTTTCATATGTGTTTCTTTTATTTCTTGTGTAAATCAAGGCTATAAAATTTCAATAATGTTAGTAGCACAAGATAATGTAAACCTTCCATCATGAGATTACATAATTCCTTCACGTTTCTTTCGATGTTTTAATGAGAACCTTCTTAACAAAATATGTTGGTATAACAGGAATGCCTAATCTGCAGTTTTCTTGAAATATCCTTATTTCAAGAAACGCAATTGCTTCAAAAATAATGCCGACCTGACGAAAACACATATTTGGTCTAATATTACCCATTGAATGGCCATTCCGATTCTTTTTTTTATGTTCCGCCAGTATGTTGAAATTGCATATAGGTTTACCTTTGTCCAAAAAGTAAAATAACAAAAATACCAAACTCCAAGGAAAATTCCTTACTTTTAGATTGGCCTTATATTTCAAAGGACACTGCAGAATATCGCAACACTCCAATTACGTCCTAATAATTTTTATGGTCATTAAATGTGTTTGAGTCACAGATTCACATACCTGGTAGTAAACGTTTTAAAGCTTCAACTGCTGCAGCTTGAAGTTCTCCGTTTGATCTTCTCCTTCTTAGCAAACGGACGAGATGGTCGCATGTATCTTGTGTTTCCCAATCGCAAAACATTTCTGAAATAAAATATGTAACGAATCATTTATATTTATTATTCGAATTAAATTATATAGAAACAAATATACACGGAAATATTTTTTGTTTATTATATCCATATAAATGCTGTTGCAGAAAGGAGTTTTATAAGAAAGAATTGTGGAACAAAATGCATATTTACAAGTCTGTTCTGCAACGAATATCATTATCTGACATTATCATGTTTTGAATGCATATATTCCATATATCTAAATAAGATATCCATGTTGATGACTTAAGAAGGGCAAAAGAGGGGGTTGGCATCATTCTTATCAAAATGGTTAAATATATTTCAAAAAGTATGAAAAGAAAAAAGTTTCAACGGCACACAAAGCATTACTTTTGAGTTAGAAGGAACGAAAGCCCTCAGTCCTAATCATTGCTCAATTTATGAAGTTTACCTTTATGCTCTTTTTGTAACTTTGAAACAATATTGCATCCATGAATCTGTATTTCTGTATTGTCTGGATATAACCGGATGACTTCCATTATATGCAAAAGTATGTGTTTCTTAACATCATGTTCAGCATGTTCTTGTACTGAAAAATATATTCTTCATAATAAATCAAGTAAAATTAATAGTAGATTGCATACTTAATAAATCGGTCAAGTTTATTGTATTTCTTTAAGCTTGTTTAAAGCAAGAACAATATCAAATGTATGATAAAGAAGTTCAACATTTTCAAAAACTAGTAATACAAAAATTATCATAAAAAATTACCACATTGTGAATTATTGCTAATTAATTCTTTTTGGAGTGATTATGAACATATGGGGATTCAATAATTAATTGTAGATAACTTTACGGTTTTATGTTTAAACTTGCTTTTATCATTTTAGAAAATGAACATTTTAATGATTAATGTATGTGTCTCACGACTTATACTGTCAGTAGAATACTATGTGGGTGTGTGCGCGCGCGTTCTTTTTAATGATATTCAAGTTCTTTTGGTATCTGCTATTAGTCACTGTTTTTTTTTGTTACATCCTTTAAAGGAAGGAAAAGACTAAAACCATCCAAATCTTTTCAGATTACATGCAATACCCTACAATTTAATAGGTAGGAACTCTGTGTTGCATAGACAATAATCATAGGTGCATGAAAACCAAGAGTGACCTCATAAATTTACCAGTGCAGTACGTAAAGTGATTATTTGATAACATGTAAATAAAATAGTATTTTCTCATAAAAAATATCATACTTTTTACTAATAATGTATCTAAAGCCATCAAACCCACATCCACCAGTTTCTCTACTGTGGTATGCGTCTTAATTGCACTTATTGCAAGTTTAACGGCACCATTGTGCACCAAACAATCTCTGCAAGCCTCTACAAGAGTAAACATTACAATTTATTATTTTTATAACATATTGTTTCCATCATAAAATTGCTGATTTACGGAATAGCATATGACGTAACGCTACGCCTTATAATAACATTATTTAATGTGTTTATTGTTGAAACTATACACCGCTAATTGAGGAAACAGTCTGATTGTATTGTAATTAGTTTTTGATGTATATAACAGGAGACACAGGTATTGCAATAAACACATTTTATAAATTAAGTCATTTTTTTTAGATATTAGTCGAGGATATTTGAATGATCTATGTTGCAATTCCATATTATATTGAACATACGAAAGCGATTTCTTATTTGTGCAAAATGAAAACAAATAACTCCGTAACTACCGTGCAAATATTATCTTACCATGCAAAGTTACATAATTTCTAAATGACCATTGTTGATAAACTATGAACAAACCTTATTAGCACGTAATGTGCGTTATCGGATTAGTGTTAAAACGTAAAACATATCAGGAAAAAAAAATATTCATGTAAAAGGAGTCGAAAGCGTAACTACACACCGTTGTTATCTGAAATATACACTATGGCACCACAGCAAATAAGTTGTATGTCACTGTTATCAATATAAGCAGTCATGCACTTCTTCATCACATTAAACACTTCTATGCTTAAGTCTTTATCATCTGTTTAATAAAAGTAAAATAATCATGCATTTTATTGCATAAGTGTATAAATAATTTATTGACAAACACTGGAAAGGAGAATAGACGATATACTATAAGCCTACTCACACGACAAAGGTCTACAAACATAGAAGTATAACGGACACCGAAAAGTTACATGACGGGTGTATCTAACGGAAAAAAACACCAATCCTTCGGAGGCACCTTTCGGAATTTGGGCCCTCAATCCTCTTCAACTTCGTTCTTTATTTTGCCTTTTAACTTTTTTGTAGCGTCTGGCGTATAAAATTATAAGTCTGGCATCTATGATGAGTTTATTTACAACCACTGGTCGATGCCACTGCTGGTGGACGTTACCTCCCCGAGGGTCTGACCAGCTCATGATTAGTAGTCAGCACTGTTTTGACATGAAAATTTGAATTGTTCGAAATACTAAGGTTTTTTACCCTAGAGATGGATTACCTTGACTTTATTTTGCAAATCCTTTGGGAATTTGGGGTCCTGAATGCTAAATTAGTCCCACTTTATTTTTTTCTAATACATTTAAGGCCAAACAAGTTATCATACATATATGCGTTGTGCACTTTGTGTACTATTTTTAAACAATAAATTCTCAATTTTCAAAACATTATCATTGTTTGTTGCGATGAATCAGTCGCTGAGGAATGATAATATTATTAACACGAAGATAGTTATCAGCATGCTCTACATTTACTTGGCAATCAACGCACATTGTTAATCAAAGGAGAGAACACAAAGTAAAAAAAGGAGATCAAAACTGATAAAACGGATGAAGAATCTACCAAGAAGGAAGTGAGAAAACCAGTTTGATCGATGGGTAAAACTAAATCAGAATGATGGATACCATAAAGAAAATGTTGCTGCAATATATATCTTTGGTAAAACATTTTGATACTTTTCATATTATGAAAATGTGATTGTCAGTAAATAAACTGCTCAGTTCTTGTTGATTTTATGTAAAGTTTTTTTCTGTCATCGATATATAAGCTTGTGATGATTTTGTTTTTAGATGTTAGAAAAACACTACAAATGAAAGCAATAATGCCATTATATAAAATCGTTTCATCTCAAAATAGGATTATAATGATAATGAAATCTGTAACGTATATAACTTATACAAAAAAGTGGGACGTATGTAGTGATCGATGTGTCAGTTCATTCGTCCGTCCGTCTGGGCATATTTTATCTTAATCTCCTGCTAAATCAAAGTACGGATTATGATTAAACTTTCTGACAATCGGTCTGAACATTTTTTTCCCGTGCAAAACATATGCAAAAAATGGGGATGGGGTTTTAATCTGTGACAAAACCTTTCGAACTTTTGGGTCCTCAATGCTTTTCAATACTTTATTTGCTCTTTTAAATTGCATTAATTGGAGCGTCACTGATGAGATGAGTCTTTTGTAGAGGAAACGGGCGTCCTGCGTAACTAATCATAATTCCGGTATCTTTGATGAGTTTATTTTCTTAATGATACTAACAGGCGAAGCACTTCAACAGAATTAATATAACCAAGCTAATACCAAATATATTACTTACATAGTGCAACTGCAGCTAGAACTTTACAACAGCTTATTTGGATGTTGCTGTCATCTTCAAATTCATTTATCCATTTGTAAATAGTATGTATAATATTCTTCTCTCTAAATGAATTGTACCTTTTCTCTAAAATTCGAAGCAAAAATCATTTTTGAAATGTGATGTTAATTTTCTTGTTGAATTGACATAAAATAAATTTAATTTCACATTTATGAAAATTTAAATAAAAATTCGTCTAAGAGACAAATGTCTGAGTTGCAGTACTTATGTAATTTAAAAGAAAAAAATGGTTATGACATTAATGTTTGATATTCTGAAAGGGGCATTTATTTCTATGCTACTAAAGAAAGGTCATACCTACTGATATCTTAAAATGTGTATACAATGTTAGAAGAAATTGGAAATCTGAAATCAAACATTTTTATATATCATATATTGATTGAATCTAACATACCAGTTTGAAGCATGTTTTCATAAAACCGACTTAGACTCAGAACAGCCTCTGGACTGTCCTCTGTCATGTCTTTGATTTGCATCAGTAATTCTTCAGCTTGACCAATGTATCTTTCGTCTATTCCTATAGTTACAGAGAAATGTTGTACCTGTAGAATACTTATTACGAACGGGATATCACATCCTAATTTGTACGGTAACGTCGTTAGTAGAGTTTGTAAACTTATGACTGTCACAATTGCTTTTTGTTTGTTGCTTTATCATATATCAGACCGTAGGTTTCTCGTATATGTTGTTTCATATTTTGCCATGCCGGAACTTTTAAAAGCTTACAATACGGTTTAGGTTTTGCTCATTCTAGAAGACTGTATAGTGGCTAACATCCACGTCATTTGTATACTGAAGGATAGTTGTCTCCTTGCCAATCATACAACATCTCCTTATTTCTAGAATATTCTATGTTTCTGTCAAAAATGCACAATGTCAATACTTGTAACCTACTCTTCCCTTTGGGGAATTTTGTGTTGTTGTCATTTGATTAGGGACTTTCCTTTTTGAATTTTCCTCGGAGTTCAGTATTTTTGTGATTTTACTTTTTTCAGATATTGGTTTATCATTATGAAATAACTACGACTTTGAATTTGTGCATCTAAGACATGTTTTTCTAAAATTCTCCGTTGATGTATTAAGAAATTACTAGAAACAAGGGATCCAACTCTCTCAAACAAAGTTTTCCTAAGCAGCTGAATTTGGTAATTCTATTTATGGTCTTTTTGGTCATACAGCTCCTAGGGTTTCTACAAATATTTACATCCCTGGCTATCACATGTTTAGGTTTGTGCGTTTCTACAATCCCTTGTATTCATATAATTATTGTACATAACAAAACAACAATTATAAATGCATACCATCATTATGTTTTCGAGTTTCTACACAAATCAGTCGGGGATAAAAACAAAACTTGTCATTGTGACAAATGTTATAAATATTTAATAACAGTGTATCTATTAGTGTTGTGTTTCTTTGGTGTCGTTGTTCTCCTCTTATATTTGATGTGATTCCCTCAGTTTTAGTTTGTAACCCGGATTTGTTTTTTTCTCAATCGATTTATGAATTTCGAATAGCGGTATACTACTGTTGCCTTTATTCATATACATCATCCACAGCATAGAAAACAGTGATTATAATAATTGACTAGAACTGTAGAGCTTACCTAACAGAGATGATATTCTAGAAAGAATATTGCTTGCAAATAACAGAATGTCTGTAAATTCTGGAGACAACTTTTTGGTGCATAGTACTGTTTTTATTATCTTCAACCCATTTTCCTCCAGGAAATTATAGCATGCATCATCTAATATTTAGAATTAAATATAGAAATAAAGAATTCAGATTTTTTTACTCATATTGATCAGACATAAAAGTTGGATTAATTGTCTACTTCAGAAGTTCATATTTATTCGATTCATTTGCATACCAAAAGACGCACACTATACTCTTAATTAAAAAAGAACCAACCGATTATTTGTTTATACAGTAAATATTATCATTCATACAGAATGTTTTAGTTCGATTGTTGCATAGAATTCTAATACAGAAGATTCAACAAATTTATCAAGTTCTATTGCAGTGAAATGTTTTAAAAACTTATATTTTTAATATAGCGTTAAATACACGAGTACATCGCATATATATTACGTACTAAACACGTCTTTGACACTTTGATTTCACTTACCAATTTCTACAACATTGCCAATGGTCTGAAGTGCTGATAGTACGTTATTGTCACAATCGCTCTCTGCCGTCATCGCCTTTAATACTGCTGATACACACCCACTTTTCACTGCTGTAAGTTTGTTTTTGTAAACTAAAAAAGAACCAAGCGGTTTTTTTAAGCACAACTTTGTTTATTTATATAGTAGCAAGAGGGATAACTCTATTATGTTTTCACACTTTAGTTGTCTGTTATATTTCCTTTTCATTATTTTTTGTTTTTAAAAGTTCATATTATGAATAACTCATATCTGTATACAGCTGTTGTGTTAGTTAAGGCTAAACATCTGACCTCTTGTAATTCTTCCGATGTCTCAAGAGTTAACATGGCAGATAACAGTTGTTTAATAATTACCGTTAGCTGTTATGTTAGTTAAGGCTAAACAGCCGATCTCTTGTAATTCTTCTGATGTCTCAAGTGTTAACATGGCAGATATCAGTTGTTTAGTACTTACCGTTAGCTGTTATGTTGGTTAAGGCTAAACAGCCAATCTCTTGTAATTCTTCCGATGTCTCAAGTGTTAACATGGCAGATACTATAGCCTTAGAACCACCTTCTGTTTCAATGTGTAATCTATGTTTCTCTACAAAAAATCAATATGAATTGAAAAAAACTTAGGTGAACCGTCTATCAATTAATAACATAAAAACCCTTCAAGCATTCGACAAAACAAAGAGGAACAGCTTTTAATGCTTTTCTTCATCTCAGTCACATTGAGGCATACCACACGGAGCAAATCCTCACACCCCATTACGAGTTCCAGTGTGCCTTTAGCACTAGATTGATTGGAAATTAATGCAAGATAAAAGGGCCAAGAAATCATTCAAACACTTTCATAATTTACCAATCAATCTCATTGTAAAATACATTAAAAATACAAACATGTCAACAACCATGTGCACATCGAGATATAGATGTTATCTTAAGAAGAAACTAAACTAGGAAAATAAAAATGTTTACTACAACATGATGCACCATTTGAGTATAAACATGTGACAGTCACCTTCACAATAATACATACACTTGCTGTTCATAACTTGATAAAACCCCACTGTATGTATACCCCCCAAAAATACCATGGTAATGGTTTCAATATTTAAAAGGACTTTTCCAGGACATGTCAAATCAAACAAATATTGCTTCCATAGTTTTAAATTTCTAAAAACTAATGGCATTCAAAAAACAATCCAGATTTATATCTTATGTATTCGTATAAAATATTCGATCCTATTTTGTCTTCATACTAACCATATACAGCTACGTTTCCTATGATTCGACATCCATGTTCTTGTATAGGGCAATGATCTGGGTACTGGGACATTGTTTTAACTATTAATGGTATTCCTTTGCTGGAAACAAATCGATGGAGAACAGTTTCTATAAAAAGGAGAAGAAATAAAAATCAATTGTGAAGTGATAATCTTAATTTCAAGATTTAAAATTTTGTAATCTCCTCCATCTTCCGTGGAATCAGCTGAGGTTACTAGTTGTGTTATAACATAGCTTAGCATTTCAAGGTAATCTTATAGTTTTTCAAAATATTTGACGATTGTTTTATAGTTTTTACTGTTTATGAACTATTATGTACGTTGTGTGAAAGAAAGACATTTGTATAACGTAATAATCATGGAAACAAATCTGTGATTATGTTTATACCATTATTGGAAAATTTTATACTCTTCCACAAAATAAACGATTGGTATGCAAATAGTGTACATACATTTCTTTACCACATAAAATAAATTTATATGCATTTATATTTATATCAATATTTATTCAGTCTGTTGTTTAACTTTTTATCATGTTTACTCCTAACCTATCCAATAATAATGGTAAGTGTTGAGTAATGGTAACTATTAATAACTTATCTCAATGTGTTTTTTAACATATACATACCTCCAACAGTAATGGTTTCACTAATGGCAAACAATAATTGTTCCTGAAGGTCTATGTTGTCTAAGAACATACTAGTTGCATCCAATAACACTTGGACTATTTCATGACTAATGTTGACATCAAATGGTTTGTCTGCAAAAATCAGAGGTTGTATAAGTTTCTTCTCTTTTAGATTATGTGTCCACTTAAAAAATCAAATATTTTATTTTCAAATCATGTTCATATCCTTTGTTTTGCTATCATATTTTTTTACTTTAGGTAAAATGATTCCAATCTTTAAATATTTTATGTAGAATTATGTAAGGAAATGTTCTGGACTTTTTACGGTTTTTAACCAAACATGTATATAAAATGTGCTAAGGGGTAGGCATGAAAATTTTAGGAATGCAAGAAAATTTAGGGTAGGTAGTTAGACAGGGAACAAAGCTATTTGTTTTGCCTTACCATGTGCAATTATGTTACAGATTGTCCAGCAACCGTATTCCTGTATAATTTCTATAGTAGGAAAGTTTTTCATTCCCTGAATTAGGTTTTCCATTCCACATGAACTGCAAACATCTTTACAGGACTCCTCTGAAATGATTATAAAAAACGTATTATAAGAGACGAAGACAAAGATACCCCGCAAAAAACAGAGACTTTACCAAAGAGATACTCAAAATACTATAAGTCGATGTAAAACCATCAATACCATGGGAAATAAACCGACAAAAAGACAAACAACAATCAACAAAACAATACATAGACAGCTCAAGACTGATCAAAATGTGTAGTTTCTGGTCCACATGTTACGATCATCGATAGCACATATCTCTTCCATAAGGGTATGGGATATCATTTGTTATTCAAGCAACGTAAAACTGATAAAATACTTAAGCAGTATGCACATGTACTGTATAATAATAGTATGAAAGTATGAAGTGGATAGTAGGGGGTCCCTATAAAGTATATTAAGTATAAATATTTACCATATTTTGTCAGACATGCTAAAGCCCATGTAGCACATTCTAACAAACTTTCATCATTTCTGCTTCTCTCTAAAGTATGCAGTGTAATTTTCAGAGCACCTGCATTGACAACATCTGTACAGATCTCATCTAAAATTTAAAAATGTAATTACTATACAGATGTTAAAGTTACGTTAATGAACCTAAAAATCAGTTTTATAGATAGAAAATAAATACTAAATATATTTGTAGGCATTTTATATTCATTCTTGTGAAAAATATTAATATTGTTTAGTGTAAATTCTATCCTCAGATTCTTCTTTCTGTTCTTCGAAATAACGAGTTTTTTAGTCCTGTAAACACGCATTATTAATAACAGGATCGAAAATGGCGCAACTTCCTAGTGTTGATATGAAAGAATGTTGACCGATGCTAACGTGTATATTAAAATTGCACAATTTAAAGATTTACAAATTTTAAAAACGGCTTTCTTCTCCTCTGTCATTGATAACTGGGAAAATCCTGTCTAGATTTTTATATATCTTACATTCACCATAGGTTTGTGTTGTGTTCACAATTTAGATAGCCGTTTCTGTTAACATATGTCTTTTTCACCATAAAATCGTGCATAAAATGACATTTAAAAAGAACTGGAAAACATTTGTATGTATGAGTTCCGTCTTTTACTTATTTTCCTTACCATGTACTGCAAAACTTCCAAGAGCTCTACATCCGTTCTCTAATACTTCGTTGTTGTCTTCGAACGTTTGCATGGCACCAATAATTACATGTACTCCTCCAATAAACATGAGCGACCTGGCAACATCAACTAGGATATAAAAATGACGGTAATTATCATCATTGTTTTGTAAATGTAGGCACTCTTCATCTAACCATGATTGCATTTTTATATCCGAAATTTTGAGCTGGTGGAATTTATACCAAAACCTCCAGCAATGTGAACAACATCATTGTGACATGATGGAGTGGTTTGTACATTATGAATATTGTTCCTGGCATAGTATATAACATACTGCTCTGTGTTTCTTGATTAGGCATGATGATACTGCTGTTCAAATACGCCCGTACTTAGAGCATGATGTTACATAATAGTGAAATTAATAATAACCATTATGAGTAGATGTGACAAGACCAAACACTACCGTTTGACTATGTCATTTTTTTGACCATGTTGGACATCGTCAAGAAGACTGGTACTTACCGGAGTTTACTAAATTTGATAAGATAAAACAACACTGTTTGACAATGTCGCTATTGTCACCATGCCTTGACATTGTGGTGAGGATGATGGTATGACAGGATTTATCAATCATGGAATCTATAATATCTGTGTCATCTACAATACACAATGAATTATGACAATATACAATAACAAATATACAACAAAAAAACTTGTTTTTGTACACCTCAAATTACGATTAACACTTTAAAGCAGTTTTTAACTTTTCTGTTTTAATAGTATGTTGGTTGCTTGTGTGTTGCTTAACTTCCTGTTGCAGCTATTTCATGCATATTCGACAAGCTAATTCAAAAAATATCAGTATAGTAGGTTTTGCAACGTGATTCGACCGGGATGAATGATGAGAAATATGGACTGTCAACGTCAAAAACAGTTTATGTTGGACAGGGGTAGATATTTTGTCTTGAAATAGGTCCCAAAGGACCCCCAAATATTTATTGTAAGATCTCTTTATGGTGTAGAGAGCGTGACAATATCCACACAATAGGTATTAGATTACGTAGCTGCGTGTTTAAACATCCCACACAGACAACAACCGCCGTCTGTATGGCTATTATTGCAGGACGGGAGCAGACTAGGTGACCATATTTCAATACTCTAGTCAACCTCTGGGTTTCTCTTTTTATTGTGTTGTTGTGTAACTGTTTCATTTACGTATATGTCACATATACTTTTAGTCATATTCATATTTATTAATAAACAGAATTAAGGAAAATAAAACATTTTAATTACACCATACCTGTCATTACAAGATACCCTAATATATCTAATATGGTCTGCAGGAGTCCTGCGTTGTCAATCTTTAGTTGTATAAGTTCTATTAGAAATGAGATTCCGTCTTCTTTGTGGACATGAACACAATTAGCATCTATAATTGAAATATACAATCACTGTAATTTATGCTAAATTTTTCAAGTTTTCCGACTATGATGTTTTTATTATAATTTTGTACCTATATTAACTGCTTAAGCTATGCATATCAAGTACCCATGTATATAGTATTTCATATTATTCCTTTATCTTATGCATACTTCAACTGAATTCAGTTTATCATTATAATAAATTGTCTTGGAATTGGCCATTTCTACCGCTACCAATAAAACCACTTAATGTAAAGACGGTTAATATAAAACTACAATATATGGTCAGATCATACTTTTTCGTACGTCATATGAATTCGAACTATGCATGCTTTTTCAATGGAAATTATGACGTCACAATGCGTTCTTAATAGCACGAAACCCCATAATATTAGGATACTACAAAGTATTACAAAGTTACAGTATATCAAAGCTGATCTGAAGGTAGTATTATCTAAAAATTTTCTAAATTATTTTCATCATCGGTGCTCAAAACCAAATATTTGAATAAGTACCATTAACTCTTGAGAATTACTGTCAGTTCTAATGACGAGTATCTAGAAAATAGGCATTTTAAATCATTGACACTTCTGAAGCCAGAGAGAAATCGGAAAAAAAATCTTAAGATGAGTCATCTTTGATAAGGTTTAGCTAATGAAGGAAAAAAAACAATAAAAGATATACCTGAATATGATGTCATCATTAACAAAGTTTGGCAAGCTGATTTGATGAGATCTGTGTTGTCTGTAAACTGTTTCATTGCTTTGATAATACAAGATATCCCTTCTTGTTTCGCCAGCAAAACATGAAGAGAGTCTGAAATGTAAACAACGACCGATTTCAGTTTGGATTTATTGGTTGCAAGAGATGGGGTTAACATAAATGCGTTTTTTAGAAACAAGAATAAGATTTGGGAACATGCAAAATCGTTTTTGATAAGTAAAAAAGGCTGGTTCATTCCTAAGTTGGGTGCATTTAGATTGTGGCTTGATGCATTTCTTAGTTGCATGTAGACACTCCAAGTTATTACCTAGTTGCGTGCATGAAAATTGTGGCGCGACACATTTAGACACCCTATTTCATTCCCAAGTAACAGTTTTTTGAATGTGTGACTTTACACATGTAGACACCCTATGTCATTCCTAAGTTGCATGCAGTGTGTCTGTAGTTTTAATGCATGTAGGCTGCAATTACGTAAGTGAAGTTGACTCAGTATCCAAGGCAGTTAGTTATACGTAGGGCGTTAATAAATAAATATTTTTATTAAAGACAGTATAAATCATAACCTAAATACCTAATATTATACTCGTATCGCATCATTTAAAATCCATATTGTATTTATTTTATATTAAATATCTTTGTTCTAGCAATGAAATTTAATAAGTTGAAATTAAATATCTTTATCAAATAGATAAGACGTTTTTAATCCTTAGAAGTGTCACTTTCAAGTTTTTTGTTTGCTCAAGCTTTCTCTTTGAGGAATATTGTATAATACTTGACAGGTCATTCTAAATTACGAACTTAGATATAAACTGTATAATGCCATCTTAAAACAATATCAATATTATTAAATAGAGACTAATTTCTGCTTTTAAAATACCTACTACAGATTTACGACTCATACGTCTTCGACAAAAAAAAACAGTTCAGGTTAAAATTACTTATCCTCATTTCCTCGAATGTGACCTACCGAATTAGACTTATCCCTGGGTTTGTACTTACATGAGCATCACGACGGGTGTCACATATGGAACAGGTTCTGCTTACCCTTCCGGAACACCTGAGATAACCCCTGGTTTTTAGAGGGATTCGAGTTGCTCAGTCTTTAGTTTAGTCTTTTATGTTGTGTTTGCCTTTTTGTCGTTATTTGTTTTGCCATGGTATTGTCAGTTTGTTTTTGACTTATGAGTTTGACTATCCCTTTGGTATCCACCGCTTCTCTTTTTACTATCAACCTTGGCAAGCACTCTCTTATTCAGAAAATAGAATCTGTTGAGCAGTCTATGGTCATTATGGGATGTTGTTTTAAACAACAAATACATATCTGAAACTAAACACCATTTTGCTTATAACTACCTACCGTCATTAGCGAATGCTGCCATTTTTCGACAGAAATCTGTTTGACACTTGGAATTGTTTGGCTTCTGTTTCATTTCCTTGATTACATCTTTAATTGATAACTTTTCATTATAGATTGTGGAATGCAATTCGTCTGTAAAATAAAATACAGTTATCTTAACACCCGTCATTCCTTGCTCCGAGTCCGTTGTTTTCATTAGAATAAGCTCCCACCGTTGATAGTTTACAAAATAGAAATGTGAGAAAACAATCTTGTTATTTTTTTGTTGGTTGTTTTTTTTTTTAGGTAGAGGTTGGGGGAGAAATGAGGGTGAGTAGGGCTTGTTACATTTTTGACGTATTTAGTTTTTTTTCGTTTCATTGAAAACAACAAATATGAATTTATAAAAATTAGTCAAAGACTCAAATGGGCAGTTTGCAATACTAATGGTTTGTAATTTGAAAGATCATATAAATAGCAATGACATTAGTTTTATGCATTTAGAAGTCTCTATCTGAATGCAAATAGCGAGTAAAGATGGTATCTATACTGAAAACTCGGTTACCGAACATCTCTCCTGTGTAGCCACATGCAAAATAATAATAAATTTCAAAAGACAGGATTTCTGTTAAAACGAACGAATAACAGAATGAATTACAAAAAAATAAGTTCTTTCACTGACACCCCCCCCCCCCCCCCCCCAACAAGAAATCAAAACATTCACAAATGCGTGATTTATACTGTTGTGTAATAGTTGCCAGTTTTACAGACTGAAACCACATGCTCACCGTCATGAATATAAAAAAATTAAACATCTATTACACATTTAATAGTATAATTCCCTGTTAATATAAAGATTAGAAGATGTGGTAAGATTACTAATGAGACAACTCCCGACCGCAGAGACCAAATGGTTTAAAAGTTAACAACTATAAGTCACCTAACGGCCTTCAACAATGAGCAAAACAAAGTACTTTTATATTAACGTTGCACAGGGAAAACAAATCTTATAAAATGTTTGTTATTTGGACTGTTGGAGAGTTTCGAAGCTAAACCATTGTACCCGCGGCATAAAATATTTCGTGCGGACAAATTATTTTTTTCTTTGCATAATGGAAAATTGTTTGGGATAGAGGACAAGCAAGTGAAATGTCTTTGTACTTCTAACACTGATAATAATGTCTTCTGCATTATAGCATATTAAAGATAACATAATCATTAAGGGTGTTATACCTGGGGTGAGACCTGTGTTTAAGTAGGACATTTCTGTCAACTAAAAGCTATGGTCCTGTTTCGCATGTGAATAAGTGTTACTTAAGCAATAGTTACACAATTTGAAAAAGAACGACTGTGATATAGAAAGACACACCCTACTTAAAGCCGATTGCACCTAAGCAGTAGTAACAATGATTTTACCGACTAAATGGTTTTAACTTTTGAAAGATTTTGTCATATAGTATCTTCTATGACTAATTATATCTCTATTGGTAATTTGCTAATGAATTGAATATTTTTTTCTTTCAAAGTAAATTTCAAGGGATAATTATTTTTATATTCAAAAAATCAAAGAGATTGAAATAACTGAACACATTATTTTTCAGTTTTTTTTTACTCAGTTGTAGAAATATACTTACTTCTTGGAGGCATTGTAGAGTTATTGTTTCCTTTATTATTTTCTGAAAAACGAACAGCAAAGTATTTGACAATAATAAGCATAAAATTCATTCACAGTTCATAAGCACATTCCGTCGCAAAAGTTTGGATATTCTCAGTCAAAAATAAAGGTTTTGTTACAAGGCACTATTCATGTTTATGCTAGACGTACAATCTTACGCTTCTTCTTATATACCAAGCATTTGACACAGTTTTTATATTAAATCAAAACCTCATTTTGATCACCAGGGTTTAATTCATAATGCTACAAACTGACATTAGTAGAATGGGGTGCTTTGAAAATCAAAATAAAAGTTTATATGTGTATTACTATTAACCCCTCTCGAAGACCCTGACTTTCCGTCTTTGATGCATGTACTTTGATGGTCCGTTTAAACATTAAATTAATTGTTTTAGTTTATCTATAAGGACGTGAAAAGATCGATATAGAATAGAAGTGCTCTTATGCATAATCTTTTAACTCTTCAGATTTGTGTTAAACAAATAGGTATATCATGCTTTTTGTTGATAAACAATGTCCAAGTCAAGAGCTATATCATAACAACATGTCATTAGGTAGAAAACTTAGTTTCTGTGAGAAAGTTCACCATTCTGATTTATTGCCCCAGACCTGGGAATATTACACTTACAATATATATGTCCTAGCTCATGCAGACTAACAACAATATCAATATCTCGTTATATAGATAAAGTTTTATATATACAAAACTTCATGCTGTACTCAATAAAACGTTTTGCATTGTAAACTAGTGATAGCATAACTCAGATTTGCTTTCCACAACGAATTTTTCGCTTTCTCCCAATTATGTTCCTAAAGTTTTTTTCTGTTTTCGCTTGGTCAAAACATAGACTTTATTTAAAACATGTTTTCCCCCTAGCACGCACAATTTTGGAATACAGACAAAGATAGAATAGCAAAGACGGATAGGTTCGTAATCAGACTAATGTGTCTGATTAGCATAATAAGTCTTCCTATGGACTGTTACCTTTTAGGCTAACACATTAAAATTCGACCCAGTGTGTTGGTTGAATGTTACTTTTTGAGCTAGCACATTAAAATCAGACCCAACGTGTCGCTTGACTGTTACCTTTTTCGGGGTGTACAAATGTATTCGATTGAATGAAATGTTATTGAAAAAAAAAGTCGGAAAGGTAACTATTATTTAATGCTGCTTTTCGAATTTTGAAACGCTCCTACAAAAGAAATGAATTGCTACTTGTTTCATGGCAATGTATTTCAATATCGTGTATTCGATCTTAAGCTGTTGTTTGTTTGGTTGTTTGGTTTTTTTTATTTGTATTGACTTTCACTTCAGTACTAATTGAATTCAATTATTATCTCACATTTAATGTGTATTGAACTTTTTGAAAAATCCCCTTGATAACCAATCAGACAATAAATGTAGGTTGCATTAAGACATAAAAATAACATATAAAATAATTATAGAGAAGAAAAAAAACCAGTCATCTTTCAATTAGACATCGTAATGACACGAGGAGAATAAAACAGTCTGATTAAAACCAGCCCCCACTATCCACTTGCATTTCTACAAACGCTAGTGGATAATGTGGGCTGGTTTAATCAGACTAAATAAACGATTTTCAGAAGCTTTCACCACACTGCCTCGTCTCTACAATGGGTGTCCTTTTCCTGATTAAAGAATTCCATAATTTAATAAAGAGTACAGATCTTACATAGAAGAAATCTATCTGAAATAAAAATATGTATATACATCGAATAATTTTAATTTAAAACGAACTTACCAAACTGCTTTACTATTTCATTTAAGAGACCAGCTCTTGTAATCTAAGAGAGACCAGCTCTTGTAATCTAAGAGAGACCAGCTCTTGTAAGCTAAGAGAGACCAGCTCTCTTTGTCGTTCAAAATAATGTGAGTTGGGCGTGGAAGGAATCCGTGTTAAATACTACATACACCCATCAATAATATTGGCCTTTCAACCTTTGTTTAATGTTTAGCTTAACATTGTTTGTTTTCATCAAGCTGTATCTATATATAGTTACTAACTACCCTGGTTTATTATTTGCTTAGAAACAATTGTACCTAATAAACTTTTTCATTTGATTTTAGATATTTAAAACGGGTTATGACTAAGATGATAAAACATGAATATTCATTTTAGTTAGTTGTCAAAAAAATATCATGTTATATCTCTTATAATGACGAAATATGTCGTCAATTTTGTGCTTCATGATCCTGATTAAATAAAACTTCTTGTTCTTGTCATGCTGGAAATACAGATTAAACGTTATAAAATATCTTTATTGATAATCTGTAACTTGGTGCAATATTACAAACGGACTAATATCGTCTAAGCTTTATTCTTAAATATTTAAAGTTAAATCATGGCGTATTTTTCATTATGTTCATTAAGCTCAGAATATACGTCACTGTTTTTTTTCAAAGTTTGTACTTTGGTTAGATTAGAGACATATACTAAATTATATAATATGTCTCTAGTTAGATACTATAACATCATTAGTTTAAAGCTTGACATTAACATAATCTGTATGTATTTCATTTGCATAAGTCAGATGTATACATTTCAGGATTTTTCTATGTCTCTTTGATGGATATTATCTGACAATATTTTGTTGACTGTAACAATTATGTTTTTCTGCAAATGTGTTGACTATAACAGTTATGTTTTTCTGCAAATGTGTTGACTGTAACAGTTATGTTTTTCTGCAAATGTGTTGACTGTAACAGTTATGTTTTTCTGCAAATGTGTTGACTGTACAGTTATGTTTTTCTGCAAATGTGTTGACTGTAACAGTTATGTTTTTCTGCAAATGTGTTGACTGTACAGTTATGTTTTTCTGCAAATGTGTTGACTGTAACAGTTATGTTTTTCTGCAAATGTGTTGACTGTAACAGTTATGTTTTTCTGCAAATGTGTTGACTGTACAGTTATATTTTTCTGCAAATGAGGAATCAATTAACTTTAACAAAAAAAAAAAAAAATTCATTAAAATAGTTATATGTATTTTCTTTAATTGCCTTCCAAAACAGTTGGATTGGAATATACCTAATAAAGGTTGACTTGCGCATAGAAATTAGTTTCAATATTTGTTTTCGATAGTTTTTTTCTGTAACATATAACAATGTAGCCATAGCATAACTAAGATATACAAATACGTCGAAACCTTATGCCTGCTATTAAAACACTCAACTTTTCAGTGTACTTTAAAGATAAGATGACTCAAAATCAAAGTTAAACAAAGAGGGTGGTAGTTCTCTTTAACGACCGTTCAATAACAAACCAAACTATTTCTTTTATTGTATTATTATAGTCCGCACTTATCTTAATACTTGTCTTTTCCAAACTTGTCAATTTATTTACAATAGATATAATTAAGATACATAAAAAGAAATTTAATGACAGAAAACCGGAAACACAATCACGTTTATACAAATTCATGGAATACTAAGCACTGCAAAGATAGTCTAGTTTATGACTAGTATCCAAGGAACTAATGCTTCTGAGTAATCCTTTTAACTATGATGGTGCTATAGCTTGAAAATAACATTTGATAATCGTGCCACTTTTTAATACATGTAGTCACGTGATAGACTACAACCTTATAGACTACAGCAATTAACAGAGTGTCTCAATCTTATGACACCATGTGGCCTTTAAGTATAGGAAATTTTTATATTTCATATATTACGTGGTCTCAAGTATAGGCAATTATATCTCATATCCTATCTTATGAAATTACGCCATCTTAAAAACAGAAAATTCATATATCTGATTTCCGACAACTTAAAGTAACTCAGATTTTTTTCTGTCCATTTAACTTGAATCTTCCATCTTATTAAGTTAAGATCAAGAACGACATTGTTCTTATTTTATGAAGTTCAAGTATACGAACATAAAAAAATTTGAAAGCGATTTTTCTTCAACTCAAACAGGTTTTTCAACTGTAAACGTAATTTGAGTGGATCTTTCAAAATTTATAATTTGCAACCCTCTCCCCTATCTTTTTTTTTTATACGAAATTAGTCCTTCTTTTATTCTTTTATAATGGCAAAGTCCAAAATCCTTCCTTTATTTCTATATTATGCAAATTCATGTTTAATTATTATTGGAAACCCTCCCCCTTTGACCCCCAAAAATAATTTTGGTAAGTAAAACAGGAGAGACATACTGCCATAAACTACACATGCACAGTAAGACGCGACGAGCATAAAATAAATAATAACCTGCGCAATATTGAACATAGCTTATAGAGGGATACAAATAAAACATTCTCAAATCGGTCTGACTCTTTGTTGAACCGCAAACGAATGAATAATTCTTATTAACCTCAAAGATTATCACGCAGTACCATCCACAATATTAATTAACTGTGCAATGTAGTTGTCAGTGAAAATGGTGAAAAATTGTGTGTCGTATGTCTCTCTTAATATTTGTTAGATAAACTTGAATAGAAGGCGGTTAGAAACTAGATAATTTAACTTTAAGGAAATTAGGTCTACATTGCATGGAGTAAGTGTATACGAACTTTTTATTTCTTTTTACAGTTTACATGAGTTTCATATTTCGAACAGAAAGTTAACAAATCAAATCTTCTTTCACGTAATTTGACTTAGCTTTTCAATGCACGATATGACACGTTTCAAAATAACTCGCCTATAAAGTGTTATTAGTCGACTCCACTCATATGAAATGGACAAACTTTTTTTCTTTGATTAAGACTACAAAAAAATCAAAATCTTGATATCTGGTGCCCAGTTTTTAACGATGTAATGCGTTCAGAATTTCATGATTTGCCAAATACATTAAGATTCGATGCACCTATATTATATTTTCATTGACTTTTACTTATACTTACTACTATCCATACCTTTCTGATAGTCAACACCAAACATTATCTGGGTAAGCGCGTTTTCAGAGCCTCCCTTCTGTATATTTGCCTCGTATTTGTCAAAAACAGACATTCCTTTTCATCAATTAATTGTATATATATACACAAAAGATTGGGCATTTGAAAGTAGAGGATTCTTAGAACATAACGAGGATATAAACAACTCATACTCATATGTTTCGTGATTTTGTACAATTATAATCAAGTGTGTGTCGTTTCATTTCTTTTTAGTAATGAATCATAATAAAAGTGTATCATAAATGCATGGTCAAATTGTTTTTCACTACACTTAATTACACACAACCCCACTATACAATAGAAACAATTTCACTTATTGTTAAATTAGACACAGTCATGCTGGAACAACGCGAATTAAAATTAGAAAAACAATGAGGTCTTTCCTAACGTAGTGGAATTGGATAACGCCTGGACAATTTTCAACGGAGAAGGTACCATAGAAATAGCCTTGTATTTCTAGTGGAAACGAAACCGCAAAAGTCTTGGTATTTACCGTAGAGAACCTGAGCATTTAAATTTGGGACGGTATCGTCGAGAACCTTGGTATTTAAAGTGAAGACGGTACCGTCGAGAGCCTTAATATTTAAAGTGGAGACGGTACCATATGGAGCATTGGCATTTAAGTGGAGAAGGTATCGTAGAGAGCCTAGTATTCAAAATTGGGACGATATCGTTGAGAACCTTTGTATTTAAAGTGGAGACAGTACCGTAGAGACGCTTTGTATTTAAGTGGAGACGGTACCGTAGAGAGGCTTGGTATTTGAGTAGAGACGGTACCGTAGAGAACCTCAGCATTTATAGTGGGGACGATATCGTAAAGAGCCTTGGGATTTAAAGTGGAAACGGCATCGCAGAGAGCCTAGGAATTTAAAGTCGAAACTGTACTGAAGAGAGCCTTTGTATTCAAAGTGGAAACGGTAGTAGCTGTAGAGAGCCTTGGTATTTAAGTAGAGACGGTAAAGAGCCTTGGTATTTAAGGAGGGACGGTACCATAGAGAGACTTTGTATTTAATCGATGATGGTACCGTAGAGAACCTCGGTATTAAAGCGGAGACGGTACCGTAGAGTCGCTTGAAAAGTTCAGTAATGTTTGACTGTTAATTTGTTGATCATATTTTGCTAATCTTGTTTGCCGTTTTTCTTTTGCTATAGTTTACAATATATTGTCAAAAATGGGCACATTGTGACTTGGGTGGATAGTTGTATCATTGGCACTCATACCACATCTTCTTATTTATACACATTGTAATTTAAGAACAAAAACTCCTATAAGGAGTCAATTGTCGATTTGGTTATTCGGAATTATTTGTAGAACTAATTGTGCTGCTGATTTTTGTTTGTTACAGTTTCTCTCTAGCTATTATAATTTTTGAGAGAAAAAAGCCAAAACACACACAAACACACGCGAAATGTGCGTCAATTGTCACTGAATGGCAATATGAGTCAATTGTCGGTTTTGGCCATTTTGAATTGATTGTAAATCTTATTTTGTTGATAATTTTTGCTGCTCACAGTTTCACACTGTGTACTATAGTTTTTACCAAAAACAGAAAATTGGTGAAAATCTTCGTTGAAGTATAACCAGACTAATTGCTGGCTCTCAAACGAAGATTCAAGTCGGTATAAAGCTCAACATTTTAGTAAACGATCCAATAAGAATATAAACGATGTAAAAATGTTGAGTCCGGTGTTTACGGTTACAGTACCCTTCAAAAACTGAATATGAATTATTTTTATTAAGTATATAAAACATAATAATAAAGAAATTATGGATCAAGCAATTATTGTCCATTGATGAGATAATATGCTAAACACTGTCTTTGACGAGTAGATACGAAGCCCATTATCAGATTAGTAGAAACATACATTTTAATCATATGGGAAAATTTGAGCTATAGATGACAATCAAAAGATGTAATTATTAAAGTCCGAAAGATGATAGTCCAAATAATTGACATGATTTTCGTCCGGTCATAGAAGGACGACAACTCCTTCAAGGAGTCAACTGACAATTTTGGTAATGTTGATTTATTGGTAGATTTTGTCAAGCCGATAGTTTTGCTGTTTAAAGTTTCTCTCTATCTAATGTAGTTTTTAAAATCACAGCTACAAAAAAAACCCCGCAAAAATGGATAAAAAAAAACCGTAATTGTAGGGCAATATCTCCTATAAGGAGTCGACTGACGATTTCGGCCACTTATGAGTAAGTCTTGTCTTGATGATCATTCTTGTTGTTTACAATTTTTCTCTTTCTACTAAAATTCCGACAAAAACGTACATATGGGTAGAAATCATCATTAAAGGGAAATAAGTCCGACATGGAGTGGACTGACGATTTCGGACATTTTGACTTATTTGAAGGTCTTGTCTTGCTGATTATTTTTTATGTTAAAAGTTTTTCTCCATCAAAATTATAGACAAAACAAATAAAAGTGATGTGGCGTGATCGCCAGTGAGACGTCTATCTAGCAAAAACCAAAGGACAACTATATATATATGTCACTGTACAGCCTTTGACAATTGACAAAAACCCATACCACATAGTAGGTTTACACTGTTTTTGGTTCATTGGCGGCTTCTCTCTTCATATATATATATATCATAAATTCCGTTACATTTAAACTTAACTGACAAGTTGCATGAAAATAAGTTAATACTTGTATGAGTTTGGTCAATGATGGAACTTATTAAGAAAATGTAACGGCGTGATCATATGCACACATGGAGACTCTAAACAATATACTAACACGATGTGTTGATATTTTATTTTACAACATATCGTGTCAAAAATTACATTTGTTTATAAATAGACATGACCTTAAACTCTTGAAAAAAGAATTCCAATGTCTGATCATGAAAAGTAGTTTGACATGACATGTCAGATGTTTGTTTAGATAAAAACAATACTGTTATGGTATCTACGTTATCAATATGTGACTAAAAATATTTACCGTGTAGAATAACGGGTTTCAAAATAATGATACATTAACCATTACTTGCTATAATTATTTTACAGTTGATAAATGTATAAATTAAGGTAAAATGAAAGAAAACACAGAATAAGAACAAAACTTAAAGAAGTCTAAAAAGGGCATAGATTCAGTAAAAATTTAATCTAAAAAGACATGCTAAAGGCTAGAGTGTGAAGTCCTGCATTAATTTAACTTACCTGAATTGTTTCTTGAGTACAAACACATCCCTTCAGCCTCATTTATTTTTATGTCAAATGATGGGTACAACTCACTTAGACTAGTGACAATTGTTTCAACATCAACTGACAGTGATGACCTCTCATCACAATGCCGTATTAATACATCTAATGTGATTTGCTTTGTTTCTCTACGGATGACTGCTTCTGGCAATTGTATGGTATTGTTGCGTTTGGAAAGTTTGTTTTTAATTATGCCATTAACCTGTAAGCTCTTTCTTCTGGTAGCCGTTGGTGGTGCTACAAAACTGGTTTTTCTTACTTTAGATTTTGATACGGATGGAGATAGTGAGTATCTTCTTGTTGACATGACAACCACTGAATCACGTCTTCCGGGTCTTCCTGCATCTTCCATTAACAAAGCAGATGTTTTCCGAATAGGATTTCCGTTACTGTCTCTTCGAACCTCTTTATCTTTAATACTTCCATGCATTCCATTCACTGTATCTTCCATGTACAAATCAGATGTTTTCCGAATAGGATTTCCTTTACTGTCTCTTCGATTCTCTTTGTCTTTAATACTTCCATGCATTCCATTCACAGTATCTTCAAATATGGCATTACAAGTACTTGAATTATGTTGCTGTTTTTTGGCGTCATATATTGTTTTGAGTTCTTCATTGTTATTTTCACTAGTTATCTTTCCTGATTTGAATACAGTTATATCATTTCTCATACTCCCGTTGCATTGTTCGCTTTGATATCCAGAATCATCATTGCGATGCCTTAGATGTTCTCTTGTCTTATTTTGTACTTTCAGTTGTACTGTTGTTTGAATACCATCAAGTCTGTCTGTTTCATTAAAAGCTTGTTTACTTGGTTCACACTCCAAATTGTCGGGATATTGGTCCATCAATACCTGCTTTTTAACTTTTCTCACTTTGACAAACGGCTTACCATTTACAACACGATCAGCAGTCCAGAAATTGGTTTTAATTAAGATTTTAGCTTGCGTTTTACTCGTCATTATTTACAAATCTAGAACGATAAGAAATGCGTATATAACGATTAGGGACAAATTAGGAAGATTTCAATTATCATTACTGTGCTAGTGTTAGTTTTGGGTAATATAGTAATCTGAATGTAAACAGAAGTTGACAGTTGTGTTACCGTTCATAGCAGCTCTACAATTAAATGTCGAAATTTTTATCTCAATAATCCGATAAAGGGGGTAGATCTTGGTGCAGGTCTCTTTATATTGGCATGCACGTTAGTCATCGAATATCACTATGCACGTAAGAAAAATGCTTCCGACGTGAAAACACGGTAACTAGGTTAACATTGTCAGAAATTGATTCGGATGTAGTAACAGCAAATACGTGCATTACCGAACAGATCTTTTCTTCGATTTTCTATCGAAATATTTTGTTACGCCTTAAACTGAAATTCAAGCACCACTAAAATGTGAATAAATGCTCTTGAATAAACTGTGAATAAAATCTCTTGACCAAATCAATACGAATGCACACAAATTCATCTTATTTATCAGTAAATCTTATTAAGGTTTAAAAGTTAATCAATCTAAGGAACAATGAATTGGAGTCGATTATAAAAATATATTTTAACGTTAGTTCAAAAAGAGTGATACACATAGTATAGACAGGAATGATCACACCATATTGCTGTTATTACGGCAGATACAGTTATATATCTTGGGTTTCCTACTGCCATTCAAAACCATTGTTTTTGCAATCGGATATAGCAGATTTTTGCCATTCCAATGGATTGTTCAATGTGTACAGCAGATTGTGGTCTATTTTCCTGTTATACCTGTATTACCGATAGCAGGAAATAGGGTGTGATGGGTGGACGGTTGAATTTTTCTTACAGAAACAAGGTTGTTCTTTTACGACAAAAAAGGTCTAGTAAACACTATTATTGGACAAAAAATACAGAATCTTATGAACGTGTCATTCTAAGTTGAAGGATTAATCAGGTGTAGAAAAATATAAAAACGGGTGAAAAATCTTTTTAAAATTTTTATTTGGTATTCATTGCATGTAAGTAAGTGAGTAAGCAATTAGTACCGTTAGATATATAAAGCTAGTAGATAAAGCTGAAAGGGTGTATGCATATTCACATATAATTTTGAACGTATAAATGAAAGTACTTCAAATCAAATCTTTGCGTGTGAACTAGGGTCAATGTTAAAAATGGTTGAAATTCTAAAAAAAAAAAGTTATAATTATCCCAATGGTCCAGCAAATACCACCGCTCCACCTTATGACTGCATTCGACAAATGTTAATCTATAAAGACAGTCTTAACGACAGAAACCTTACTGTCCTCGTACAATTTGTCCATTTTCGGTCCAAGATTTGAAATACTTAATCCGACTACAAATTAAAAGATTTATTGCACATTTATAGATGATATGATTTACCCTACGTAAAACCGAGAAGTATATTTATTCCATATTTATATTATTTAGTAAGTTTTTCTATATAAATTGTGTTTTAAATAAAACAGCATATTCACCTGACGAAAAGTGATATTCATGTAAAATTCTCGTTAAAATGTTTGATGTACAATTGGATTTGTTAAATAATTGCTATAAAACACCTTTTACTCTCGGAATATAAAAAAAAAATACTATCTTTTGTGTCAGTAAATAAGTGGTATTGACTTCTGAAAAACTGTAGATGATACATTATAGATAACAATGATAATAATCATATCTATAATAATAATAAAAACTCAAAAGATAAAACATAAAAAGAAAGCACCTCTCTTTCGATTTCAAATTCATGGAGAATAATTATTAAAATTTGTCTTTTTATCCAAAATTTTGAATTCATTGTTACCTAATTTTGAAATCGTATATCTCGTGATATATCTGTGTTTTGTTTTACTAATGCCTCGTCTATTGCTTCGTCCGAAATTTGAAACCCATACCGAATAAATAAAATCTATAACGTTTTTGTGCATTTTAGAAAGTATGTTATGGTTCTATCAGTTAGGGATTTAATCTCTAAAAAAAAAAATCGCGAGATTTTGGTTGCTAGAAAAGTGTGACGGATGAACGAATAGATGACAATTTTCCGAGAACTTTTTTTAAAAGTAAAGAGAAAATAGTATTAAAATAAAGCCGTTTGTAAGACTTTTATGAATATACATTCCCTACCTTTTTCTTTAGACTGTTAATGACACCACTGTGTAAAGCATTATTTATATCTAAGCAGGAAGTTCAGACCAGTGGGTGGCTGCTACTCATCTCTGTCTTCAAAGTGATGCATGACTTTTTTTACCTTTTCAAGTAACAATGGACTTCTTTTAATACCAATACCAAATCGTATACCTTGCTTCTCGTTGGTGTCCTTTGTTTAGGGCGTGTGTTTATTTGTATTTCAAAAGAACATTTCAAATGAACAATCTCCATGTTTATAGGGAATTGGATTTTATCATTTAAAACGTAATAAAAAAAAACGAAAATATCTCCCTTTAGGAACCTCTCTATTTTCCAATATCTTATCATTAATGGGCTGCATCAATGACGAACTTTACAACACTTAATGGCTATTATCAAAGGTTTTAAAATAATTTTATCAAAAAAGGATACGAGGACAATGCTTTGGTCTAATATATGGTCACGAACTTTGCGAATGAACGTACATTGACGTGAAATCTATACATATTTGGGTACACCAATGCAAAAAGGTGAATCTTATGCTTTCACACCTTGTAGAATTCATATTTAATTTCATTGGATAAAAAAACAATAGCAAGAACAAATCTGATGGATTTTGTTTACCAAATTTTAATTTTTAATTAAATAAATTAGTGAACTGATGTTATTGTCAAAGGTATGATCATAAATTTTTGACAGTACCATTCTTTTTTAACATTGCATGAAATCATTCTTGCTAGTCCAAAAGCATATATGCACCCTCAAATTGCAGTAAATGAGCATCAATATATCATTTATGTTTCTAAGCGAATGTGTTAAGCTATTTCAAAATACTATTGTGACTTCATTGATTGTTGATTATCTAAATCTTTCAGACAAAAAATTAACTAAAACAGTGGAGAAAGATAACAAAGGGACAATGAAAAATGATAAGTCGACCTGATTCTCGATTTGAACAGCCATCAAAAACCATTACTAGTAGTCTCGGTCATCCGTTGATTACGATTTGGTGTTTTTTAATTTGTATAAGAAGAACGCAAAGGAAAGTTTGATTTCTAATCTATTAACAAACATTGGCTTTTGACAATTACAATGTACTTATATTAAAAGTTCAAAATCAACACCAACTTAATCTCATTTTTTAAACAATTCATTCTTTGCTATTGGAAATCAAAAGAAAGATTCCGAGAAAAAATTATAGACACATTTAAAGCAAATCCAAATACTAAATAGTGTTTGTCTACTTGTCAACCTGTTGTTATTGATATTAGATTTTATCCTACAGACTGGAGCATAAAAAGTTGGTCAATGTCAGAGGACATAGAGCCATATGAGAATATTTAGTCTAGATTCACATACCAAATAATATTGACCTGTCCTGTAAAGTTACTGAAAAACGAACTTAATTAAACAAATTAAACCTGACCCACGGATCTTGAAAGTGAGCACGGATATATTCTTCTGGGATCAAAATAGAACTGATCGACATATCGTAGATGTTAACTGAGAAACATATGTTATCACAGAGAAGTTATCCAATTGAAACCACTCGAACAAGAAAAGGTAAGACATATGTATCTCTTTACAATAAATTCACATCTGGACAGTAACTTGAGGTATAAATCAGATGAATAAGTTACCTAACAAATACACAGTCGTCCATAATAGAGGCTATACATTCAGAAACAGTATCTGTTATGTGAGAACACCTAGGAGTCTACACCAAAAGAACATTCAGAAGAAATTTCGACCAAACATGAGACAGGATATAATCTAGTTGAAAATATTGTTTTAAAAGTTCTTTGCTTCAGGAACAACCCACAAGACTCAGAAGGAGAATGGAAACAGAAACACTCAAAACTCACGGAGGATATCAAAATAATAACAAGAAAACTCAGACTATTTTTTTTATAAATAAAGAGAGAACAAGATATCATTTGCTTACAAGAACATAACTATGCTCATTTGAATTACAAAACTTGGATGAAAACTCAACAGACTATAATGCTTTTAGATGGAGCCACGATTGTAATAACCATATCAATAAATTTTAAATACCAAGAGGAAGATTAGGCATGGCAATAGCCTGGCCGCACACATTTGATAAAATCATTTCAAAAAATGGACGACAGATATGACAGAGTTATATCAAGAGAAATTAAGATTCCCCCTTAACCAACCTGCCTCGTCAATGCCTACATGCCAGCATACGAGACATACTCTATCAATGAATACCAAGAAAACACTGACATCATCCTTATCAAGAACAAATATGATCAATTAAACAATGTACTAGTAATCTTATTTGGAGATCGAAATGGTCATTATCAGCGACAAGAAACAACAAAAAGCATGATGGTCCACTCAAAAGATTTATAACTAATCATCAATTGAAGCCAACACAACATATCTAAAACAAACCAACATATTGTCTTA